TACTATTACTACCCTTCTTCCATTCCCTACTAACCAAAGGCAAGCTAAGGGATATTGGGAGTCCTTGGGCTTTTGAGGCACGAAGGCCGTGTGTAAACCCGAAAAACTTAAGTCATGGGTCTGTTTCAATCAAGCTCGACTAGAAACCGGGAGACCTCACCTGCTTTGCGAGATCGTAAATCCTACGATTCCCTAAACCGCAGATTTAGGCCTACACCTCAGCCCTGTTGATTGTATTGAGTTGATGTCCTTTAAACTGTATTGCCCTGCAGCTTAACTTCCCGAGCGGATCTGGATGCGACCGATGTTTTCGCCGTACTGCTCCTGAAGTAATAGAAGTCTTCAGCAAGTCGCAAATATCTCGCGTGGACTTCTCTTCTGAGTTGCCTTTTAGCAGGTGTACTTTGGTTGGGGATCTTGCCTTGCTTTGTGCCAGTCCTCTGGTGTTTCAAATCATCTGACCTACAGACACATGCCTCGAGGTCACCGGCTTTCTTCGCCAACAACCTGCGCGGAGGCGTTGTTTGTTGGTTTTGGCTAGATCTGGCTCAACGACCGGAGAGTTAAGCGTGACATAATATACATATACATATATATATATATATATATATAATATGTATGAAGCCTGCAGGATTGCTGATGTTACTCCGTAGTCCGCTGTGTCAATGATTGAGGGTTTAGGGTTAACGGGTGTATCGTGTTCAGGGGGCATTTCTTCAAGCATGCCGGCCCCAGACCGCGACACAAAACAGGGGAAACAGGCATAGGGTGTAGTGAAGTGTTAAATGGGGCACAGGATTTAGCATGAGCCCTACGACTTATCCATATATACATCACATACACCTGATAAGCCCTAAACTCTGAACCGCAAACCTCAGCGGACGGGTAGGAATGAAGGCGGATGACAACAACCACTTGGAAGCTGCAAAGCTTCAGGCATCATGAACCGAAGCTCGGCATACAGTAGGAACGTTTCATGTTCTATGTGTGCGTGTGTACGTTTCTTTACACACATGTATGTATATGTATATATAAATTAATAACTATATGCATTTATGATGATATACATATATATATAAATATAAATATATATATATATATATATATGCACATGCGCACATGTATGCTGTGTACATATAAGTGTGTGTGTATATATATATATATATATACAACACCTGACATCGGTTAGGCTAACCAATTTCAAGGGTCCGAGGTACTGTTATGGGGGATACTTCCCGAAATCGTAATAGTAATTTCTAACATAGAAACCCTACATTCTACTATAAAGGTACTTTGGACCCTTTGGGCCTGCATCCTCAACTCTCAGCACCAAGCCGCAAGACCGTCTGGTCTACACATTTCTGCCAACTATAGTAAAATATACCCCCAAACCCCGCTCCAAGTATTAAGGACCCTGCTCCAAGTAGTAAGGCCCTTACATTACACACCTCTTCTAACTATGGGCCAAAACCCTATTCCAATCATTAAGGCACCTTTATTCACACCTCTGCGATGAAGGAGCCATGACTTTGCCAATTCCCAGCCGCAGCGAGTCGGGCCGATCACTTCAGGAGTTCGTCAGCGGGGAGGCGTCTTCTTGCACCCTCCCTGTACCCTGAAGCAGGGGCATATGGTCGCGTAGGTGCACTTAAAGTCAAACGGAGCGTAGTGGGTAGATGGAGGGTCTGGTGATAAAAAAGTATGGTTTACATTGGGGGGTTGGTAAGTGCATCCAGGGCTCCTTTGTAATTTCGAGGATACAAGTAATCAACTCCTTCGAACTCAAAGTCCGACTCACAAGTGACAAACAAACTCTACCTCAAGTGAGGTACGTGTGTCTTCTGAAGACACTGTCTAGAAGCAAGCTTTATCTCGCAGCCTCACGTTCGCACACCTAAACTTTAAAATCTGAGCACATGTTGTCTCTTGGGTACGGCCCCCACTCAGTAACAGTTGGATAATATTCATAATATAGATATATAAAGCCCATAATAGTAGCCCTTGGGGGCCGTACCCAAGTTGTCTCCATATTTCTTCGACTCAGGGTCTGAAAAGCACGAAAAAGCTTCGTTCGAAGCATTTCTCCTAGGACCTAGAGTAGGCCCTTATTTAGGGTTCAGGTTCCCATATAAGCCCCTTTAAACCAAAAAGGGCACCCTTTTTATTCCTAGGTTACTCTTGGGTCTAGTCTCTTCAAAACCACGACGGAGGCTTCAGGATTTGGGTCACAATGGCTGGTCTCTTCCTAAACCCAGAGTCCGCGAAGACCTTCCTAAATACTCTGCATTACCTGATAGGCTCCTGCATCAAGGAAAACCCATGAACGGTACGGTGTGCTCAGGAACCCTGCAAAATCCCGAAACCCTACGACGAGCAGGAAGCCTGCCTTAAAGCTCAGGCCCCACAGCCCTAATCTCAAACCACGAAACCCTGACTAAACCTCTGCATCCGGAACCCTTCACCCCTTCTCACCGATTTCAGGCTCTATTCATGGAACCCTGTGCCGGACCCTCTGTAGGACCCGAAATCCCCGTCTAGCTGTCAGATGGCGCCGCTTCGGAGCGCTGACGAGATGGCTTTGATCGCTGCAGTCTTGCGGCTAGGCCATCGAAGCCGGACAAGCCTCGGTACACAGTTCATGCCATCCAGGGGCTAGGATTTAGGGATTCGGGCACGTACTATGAACTTCCGGATGGCTCAGATAAGGCTCGTATATAGTAGAGCTTCGGGCATCGAGCAGTGCATGATGCTACATGAGAACTGTTCGCTCGGAGTTGCATGTTGCTAGCTTCCATGCGAATTTGTACGTGTGTGCGTAGATCTTCAGGATCTTATCGGTTTTTGTGGGGGTCAACGGCAGACTGGTCGGAAGCGCACAGGTTCCAGAAAGCGTGGACGGCTGTTGGTTGATCATCGATATGCTTATTCATGATGGCCAGAATCCGACTTCAAGCGTCTCTCACCCCGGAACAACGACATAAGTTTTGACAACGGCAATACAGTGCACATATTTCAGGATACCGGTTGAGCATAAATATCCTTGAAGAACCATGCCAGAGCTGCATGCGTGGGGTCTTCGAGCAGATCTTGTGAAAGGGACATGCGTGAAGCTAGCCGAGGTAATTATGAGGTGCCCTTGCATTTTAAACGGTATATGATGAGAGGCCGCGGCCTTGCAGCCGACTCACTCACCGTAGCCGTGGCCCTGGCACGTGCACTAAGTAATTAAATGAAGAGACGACCTTTGCCGAGTTCTTGTTAGGGAACGTACTTTAAGTTACATCCTCGCAACACGACAAGCAGCAGCAACCGACAACCCAAAGTAATCAAACCCTGACCCCGAGCTTCAGCTGATCCTAGCCAAGTTCGGCGAGTGTGCCCTTGTGGCATATCTGGATACGAATGTGGTTCAGGTTTTAGGCTTTCGAGTTTACCAGGACCCCCCAAGTATCGTTAATGGGGTCTGATGTTCCGCAGTAACAGGTAATTAGGCGCAATAAAGGGTCGAGGTTGGGCCTGGGCTTTCGGATGCAACGCAAACTGAGTTCTGCGCCTTTGCCGTGATCCCGGCCGCATGCCAGGCTGCAAAAGATTGCAGCCTTTGAAGCTTACAATGGAGCCCGAAATCATTTTAACCCCTCCAGCAACATGTGAATTTGAAGCAGATGTGGGAATAATCAGTAGTAACATGCTCCTATTAGCCCTCCGTAATCACACTATATCATACTGTCATGTGCCGGTTCTACTCATCATTACGGCACCTACAGTAGCAGGAGTGCCCTTGCTGCCCCAGCACCGAACCCGCAGCTTACTGGAGGCTTTGAGCTGAATAACATGTAGGCTTTTGGTTGGAGATCGTTTTATCGAGGCCGGTGCCTTTGTTCTCTATGACGAGCATCTGGAGAAGATGCCTCTTGACAATTTCAAAGCCCGTTTAGGCTAGTTCGTGGCTAGACTTAAGTCCAGTAGCCATCGGGATTTCGAACTTGTGGGCTGTGATGGTTTGCAGTGAAGTTTATGGGATGTGAGTGTTTGAATTTATAGATGGGCTCGCTGCCTCCAGGATACCGATTCCAAGTGTTGAGACCGTCAAAGTTTTGAGCAGTCTGTGGCAGATGGGCTTGTATGCCTTTCTCTTAGCAGGGTTTCCTTCATTCAGAGCTCTTTCAGAGTAACCCAGAGGGATTGCAAAGATTGCGAGAACCCAGGATCAAGTTTCTGCCTTGCAGAAAGGGCACCTGTGTTTATTTGCAGGAGGAAGGAAGAACGTGGTCAGAAAAATCGCAGAGAAGCGATGCGAAGCCCGCACTCTGACGCAGCTGAGGCTTAGTCTGGATAAGTTCCTCGAGGCTTCACCGTCTAAGCACTGTACCGGGTGCCCAGCTGCTTGAGTGGCTGTTTCTATGGCAGACAGAGTGGCACCTAAAATGTGAATCTGAAGCCACAAGATTTGAAGCCTCCTATATAACTGTCATAGGAGGCCAAAAGGGGTTTTAGCCTATGGGGGTTTACTAGGGATTAGGGTTCCCATAATAGGGTTCATATTAAGGAATCCCTACCCCAAGAAACTTAAACCCCCCTTTTGGCCTCCCATCAAAGTTGCTGCTTGATCCCGAAACACATGCCCCGGGACCAATCGGATACTTGACCGCGAAGTAAGTTGTTTTCTGCAGCACTGATCGACTCGACGCATGTGCTCATCAGACCATACCCCCGGGTGCTGGTGTCGGATCTTGCTAGGGGAAATGTGTTGTTGCAAAGCTTGCGTATACTGAGGATGTGAGAGACAAACTACGGGGTCTGTAAGAGTTAGACAGACCACTGTGGTAATACCTACTTTCTTCGGGCAGCTACACATGGCCAGATGCAACAGCCGTCATGCAACAAACATTTACAAAAGTCAGGAATCAGCCAGCAGTAGGTATAAGTCATAACTCCTCACCATCTTCGTCACCCAGAAGCAATACTGATGCTCTTGCATCCGCTTCTTCGCGTCGCCCATGGGGGCTTGCCGCGGCCATTTTTGGATTCTCATTTCGGCGCTGAGCGGCTTGGCTGGAGCCGACGAGTTCAGCGAGACCTGCCAGTCACCCGCTGAACCCTGGGTTTGGAGTACCATACTTGAATACTTTTTTTGGGGGTATACACCTGCAATAAAAGTCTATATTTTTTTCTCCCTGGTTACTTCCAAGTCCAGGAATGCTCCTCAGAAGGGCAACCCCATTTTCAGCCGCAATTCTGCGCTCGGCCGCGCCCGATCTATCGGAGTGAGTTTTCGCAGGAACTGAATCTGACACTGCAGCATTGCGCAGACATCTGTCGTCATACGATTGGTTGTGTGTACTTCGGCCTCGGTGATCACAGCTGCGACACCTTCTCAAGCTGCAACAGCGAATGGTCGGAAGCAGCGCACTTAGCTGCAAACCTCTATCAGATACCGGGCTTTGGAGTACCATACTTTGATACATCTTTTGGGGGATCTGTTACTTAAAGGGAACCCATTATGAAATAAGAGTCTTTACTTTTTTCCCAAACCCAGGATACCAGAAGATCCTGCACGGTGCGATTGGACATCGAGGCAAAGCATGGGTAGGGATCGGAATTGTGGCAGCTTCGGTTGCCCAAACCTGTAGTGAGGAATTTGTCTGTGATGATACCGCTGAAGAGGTGCCACAAAACATGAGGTCGTGTGCGCAACCTTAGAGGCGGGCTCATGTTTCGGAATTGTGCTGCTTGCCAGCGGTGGCTCTTGTCATCCAAAGCCGAGCATCACTGCCCCAAAACTACCTTCAGGCACCTTCGTGGGCAAGCGAGCCGTGCTGTCCGTGCGGCAATGACTCGAGGTGGAGCCCTAAATCCTCCACCCTAAAATTTCTGGGGTTTCGGGTTTGGTTTTGCATTGCGGGTTCAGGCCTGAGCTTGCACAGCCACTGAGCTGAAGATTGACTTTTGTTGTTCTTATTGCCCTTAAGATTTGGATTTCTCCAGACTTTGAAAGTGACCGCTTCTACTAGGACCTAGAGTAGGCCCTTATTCCCTTTTTTAGAGTTCAGGTTCCCTTATAACCTTTAAACCAAAAAGGGCACCCTTTTTGTTCCGAGGTTACTCTTAGGCCTAGTCTATATACGGCTTGCGAGCACCGCGTTCCATATCTCAAATGAACTTCCATGGTGACACAACTGTACTGAGGAGAGACGCCATCAAGAACCAGCATCCAGGAGTTTTTCAAATCAGACACCCAGACGACTGCTCATGTGCAACACATGATGTCAAGCATCAGAGCCAGAACGATCCTCACGATGTGATCAACACACACGGAAAGTGGGAGCAACGGCTCGGATGGTGGTTCGCTTTGTTTGCTACTACTGAGGATTCTAAAGGTACTACTTACTATTAACGTTGTCATTGCTGCTGCCGTTGCTTCTGGTGTTCCTGACATCTTCACAAGCATTCGCTGGCATTAATCGCCCTGCTGCCTCTAGTCTTCCTGGCCATTTTCACCATCATGGCAAGTCTTGCTGTTGGTTTGGGATGCGTGCTGGCAGAGGTGTCGCTGCAACCACAAAATCATGACCTGATCCTCCGCAGAAGCGGGTTCTTTTGCAGGGACTCTGCTTCATTTTGGGTCTGGCAAGGTTTAGTAATGTAGAAACCCTTGTACATCTTGAGTATCGAGTCTAGTATATCGGTACCTGGATACCCTGCAACCTTTGAGGGCTTCGGAGGTTGAAAAAAGCTCAGAAGCCGCCTGAAGCCTACCGATACTCAAAGGGGAAAAGGAGGGACCGTTAATGGGGACCCCTACCCTATAATGGGCTATATAATGGTTATATAATAGCTATATTAAGGGTATATACCTAGGGGTCCTTATTAAGGGTCCCCCCTTTTACCCTTGGAGATACTTTACCTCGAGAGATCTTGCTACATTAGGCGGGGAGCTGCAGCAACATCTCGTGGAAGCTGCGTTGCACCACGTGAGCCATGACTTGGTTCGGCTTTTGGTATGTGGATTTAAAGGGCACTGAGGCTTCAGGGGTGCTTTAATTCGGGATTGTGATTGGACGAAGCCAGAGGAGTAGCAGGGGCAACTGTCGGTAGTTGCCAAAAAAGCGTGGGCATCCAGGCAAGCTCTAGAAAGTCCAAGAGCTTTGTAGTTGAGGGTCAGTCAAAACTGGAAACGGTTTTTGGAGGTACTTGATTAATTATGGCAGAAATGTGAGTGGACTATATGGGGGGTACATAGTTGCTGCAGACTAAGACCTCTGCATTTGCAAAAACATGCAGCTCTGAACGACTTGGTAGAAGCTCGCGACATTGACCCTTCAGCCCAAGTGCCTTGGACCTACAACGTTGTGCCCATGACTTACCTTTTTCGGGCGCAGGGTTCAGGGATCAGGGTATAGGTTCGGCAATGTGCCTGACAGAGCTACTTTTTGCGATGCCAAGGGATTGTTAGCCTAGGGCGAGGCCTCAAGACTCCGAAATGGTCCTAAGGCATACTTTTTTCCACAGTATAGTGTAAGGCCTGCTTCAGGCGTTCCTGAGGATCCAATTCCCATATGGACTAAAAGAATTTGGACATAGTTTTCGGCATCTGTACTATATGCATACTTAAGTAGAGTTTTTATTTCAGGCATTGTGCTACACTATTACCCTTGGTTCAGCTCGCATTTTCCCACAGTAGGTACTGTTCCTGCGCAGATTCCGCTATAAAGTTGCTTGACCTACTCGACGAAAGCCTTCACCCGCAAGTCAGTGTAGGCAAGAGCACTAAGCCCCCAAGACCTTTGTGGGAATACCGAACCGCAAACCTTGCAAAGGTTTGCAGAAGCGCAAACAACGCCTAAAACGAAGTACATACTTTCATCTCGGCATCATAGAACTACAAGACCTGGCATAAAGGGACGTTTGATACAGAACCCCCACCATCCCCCTGTAAATATTCGTATCGAACTCTCATTGAAGTCACAAAGCCCCAACGTGTACTAATATAGTGGCCTTAATAATTTTGACTAGCCTTTATTATACTATAATGATACTATGGACCCCCCAAAATAGTATAGTATAGTATAGGTATTTATTACCTAGACCCTCCATCTACCCTGTATTAGGCCCTAAATGCCACTGATTTGGGACCATATACCCCTACTTGAGGGTACAAGGAGGGTCCTGGTAAGAACCCTAGACCAGACCTGTAGCCGAAAAAACCTACCTTTTTAAAGAACTATATATAGAAACCATAATAAGGAACCCTGAAACGGTAGGTCTTTCCGGCTACAGGGAGGGACCCCGATGGCTGAAGGAACTCACCAGCCTTCGCCGCGTGCCCCGTGGCCGGCGCGGCAATTCGGATCCTGCAGCCCGGCGCACGAGAGAGAAGGATCCTTACCCTGCAACCCCAAGGGTCCAAAGGACCCAATAATCAGGTACTTAGGTTCAGGATAGTAGTTTTGTAGGTTACTATTTGGGGGAGTATATGATAATTAGGTACTTGGACCCTTAGGGTAAGGGACTGAATGATCAGAACGTGGTTCTGATCGCATTTTGTAGACTTCATTTAGAGACCTTGTCAATAGGAAGTTCGAGCAATGTATTTGTGCCCGACGTTTCCTACATGTGTTTGCTATCCCGATTGTTTGTCATGTTGCCGGTGAGATGCAGGAGGTCGGAAGCTTCAGCGTTTCTCAATGTGGCATCCGAGAAAGCAACATAAAATGTATGTGGCCTGAAGTAAACTGAACAGCCCTAGTCGATCATGAGGGCGTTGGCTCGGAATCATCATCACATGACACAGGCGCGACTGCTAGAAAGCTTGTTCGACCTTGTAAAGCTGATCAAGTTGGGCCAAGGCATGTGTGGGCTGCAGCATCTTATCATCACGGCTGGAGGCAGGATCAAAAACAAAGCCTTCCACAACATCAGTGCGATGTATCTTTGCCGTGTCGCTGCAGTCCACCTAGAGAATATGTTTCTATACCTGGCGAAGCTCAAGAGCTACTGGCATGCATACCTGCAGATAGACTTATTTTAGTGCGCTGTGCGCAAACATATATGTATGTATATATACCTACACACGCATGTCAATAGGTAAGTAGGTATGTAGGTGTACCTTTATGTATATGTGTATATGTACGAGCATGACTTTATGCGTTTAAATATACACCCACACTCAAACACACAAAATATGTATGTATATATATATATACACATGTATATACATGTGTGTGTGTGTGTGTACATGAGTCTGTTTGTTCACGGCCAATTAGTAACTGTATTTGCAACTACACGGTCACATAAAGTACAAGCCTTCGATTCTAAGCTTGCCTTCGACGCTTGTAACCGATGCCAGGACTTCCAATCCTTTATGCTAAGCCTGTGGCCCATGTCAGGACTTCGCGAGACGGAGCGTGCCGCAGTAACACACGAAAATTGTGCCAGCTTCTTCGTGGATCCTCAGGAACCCTTTCGGTATCAAGGTTTAGGACTTCGGGGTTTAATGTAATAGAGTTTGGGGTCCAATATACTTTGAATATAATAAGCAAACCCCAAAATCGTATTGGTAATTATTCAGCCCCTTGTATTAGGTTTTGCAGTTCTTCTGCCCCCGAGAGGCCGCGCCTGGCCTTCGCAACTGAAGCCCAGGACGTTCTATCTTGGAAAGCCCCTCTTTGTGGGACGTTGGGTGGTCTTGGGTTCAGGAAGGGTTTGGGGGTTTGGCCCTTGTTCTTGGACATGGTGTGCTGGGACGCAAGACAACTCGAAACATTGGCAAGCACTGATGTTCTTAAGCGGTTTCATAGGGCATTGATGTTTTCAATTCCCTGTAAGCGTCCTTCTTAATCAGTCCAATTTGCTCGGGTGAATATTTTCGGTTTAGGGAAGTACTGCGAATGGGGCTAGATTTGCTACAGTGCCGAACACTGCCTCATGTGCTCATGATGCATGTGAATGGCAGGAGCTGCCGTTCAGTGCTGAGCTCGCCCTCATACTCGACACTCCCTGGGCCCATCTTCTACGCGCCTTGACACGCATCTGATTTATCGACTTTTCTGCCTCATGATCCTCACCCCTTGCCCTCTAACCCGGCAGCTGGATCTGTGGCCGAATCTTTTTCAAGAAGGCGAAGGCATTTGGAAGGTTTGCTAATTTGATCGCAGAGTTAGTGCTCAGTAGACCTTCCCGTTATTTGAGAGTCCGGAGGCTGCGGTTGACGGCAAAGAATGCTCGAACGTTGGAGCATGGGCTAACGATGATAGTCCTGGCATTCCCCATGGGCTCTGTCTTGCAGATATGAGGATGGCGATGTTCCAGTTTTATGGCTTCTGCTGTATCATTTCGGGATGCCTATAGTTCCTCGACAAGAAGAAACCCAATACCCTTTTCTGGTTATTCAGGTGCTCACATTACACCCAATACCTGCAACGAGGCAGTCAATGGGCAAAAGCTCTTTTCCTGGGCCTATCCCAGCTTGCAGAAGCCTGGAAGCAGCAGATGCAGTGTCTCTGTGGTGATACAAGAACATAATCTCGGTCAATGACCAGAATTAGAAACTTGTGCCTGTCTTTCTCAACTGTGTTTATGTGTGTGTGTGTGTGTGTGTTGTGTGTGCGTATGTACATACACGTCTATGATGTTGAAAAGTATAAGCACCATCAGGAAAGCAGCTTATGCAGTTATGCCGTATACGTTGTACATGTTTGTGCATGTGTGTGTGTGTGTGTATATATGCATATCTACGCACATACTTGTGTTTGTGCTTGTGCACGTGTTTGTGTATGTATGTGTACATGTAGTATATATACCATGTGTATATATATATATATATATACGATCAGCATACATACATACATACAGACCGACCGACCGCCAGAGACAGACAGACAGACAGCCAGGCAGACATATAGATAAATAAACCTGTGTGTGTGTATAAATATGCAGAGATGTATACACTCTTTTTCGTGTAATAAGGACCATAACGGGACTTATTCAAGAACCCAGTCTTGATTCGAGGACGCTTCCATCGTCTAGTGGGCTTTGGAACCAGTACACAGGTTTCTGTCAAGAGACCGCAAGTATGGGGGTCCTTGATCTGAGGGTCCAAAAGACCAAACCAGGTACTTAGTTTGCAGAAAACAGTTCTGTGGGCATGAATATCAGGTACTGGACCCCTTGGAGCAGGTTTCGGAACCCCTCCATGTCCGCAGCAAGTTTTTGGGTCGGGGATTTGGGCTTAAGACGTATCAAGCTCAGATCGGGGCTTGATAGAGGCTTTTGAGGCTAGTGTTCAGGATTGCGGATGGGCATTTCAAGTTTCGTTTTGCTGTGCTCTTCCTCTAAACCAACCTTGTCCCGAATACTATTGCTTTATTTGAGTAAGCTGTAGGCTGCAAGTCAGGAGCAGCGAATGCAAGAGCGTGGATCGCAGCTTGAGCCCGAAAACCTCTTATCGCTGTAAGCCTGGGAGCCACTGCAAATACTGTGTTCTATGAGCTTCGTAGGAGCGAACCGTGACATCGAATATATTCACAGCGCGAGCTTTGTCTAAACTGTAAGCTACAGAATAGCCGAGGAAGGCTTATGCCAGCGCCTGGAGAAGTCGGCTTCAGAAACTGCCACTGGGTTTCTGTTGAAAAGGAACATGGGCCCTTTGCTTAAGGAACTCATGTTTCGCTCTCGCTTCAAGGCTTAAAGAGGCATCTTTTTTTCAATGCAACTGCTTTAAGGCTTTCGCAAGGCCTTGTATAACTAGAACGGGTTTTGCTGGAACTGAACTCAGGCGTCGCAGGGGTTTACACACCGGAATGTCGGGTTCTGCCGGGGCTACGGTGAATTGCAAAGTCCCTAAACACTGCATAAAGAAAAGGAGCCAAAAGAATTAGCGCAAGGTGAGCAGGACTCCTTGGGATGTTTTGCAATTTCTTGGTTGGACCTAAGGGGATCTAGTTTAGTTGGGATTTTCAGAGGACAAGAGCCTTATAAGAAAGGCTTTCTTCAATGGTAGTTAGCTGGGAGTAGTTCGTTTCCTTGACGAAAACCCAGGCTTGTTCAGCATCCTCCGCCTCAGCAAATTGCAACTTGAAGCAGGCAGCACTTCTGCTGGAGACGCAACTCGACAGCATCCGGGTTCTCAGGGTTCCGGGCAAAGTGGCAGGTTCAAACCCCTTGAACCCAACTTCAATAAACTGTTACGAAACCCAAATGGGCGGTTGTCAAAATTATAGTCCCTTTTTGGGTACCCTAAATAATCGGTGCCATATTATAATATTGAGCCAAGAAGGGACCCTAATTTTGATAATCACCCAAATCCTTCAGCCCCGCCCCTTTTCCAGGACAAAAGGCTCAGCCTCGCCAAAGGCACTGCAGAAGGCACAGGCACTCGCCTCCGGCTGCGCCTCCGATGGTCGGCTGTCCTCTATGCTTCGGATCAAGGCCTGATCCTACCAGAATTTCATGCTTTTTCCAAGCAATTGCTTTTTTGCCTACGGGGTGCGGTGTGGATAATTAACATAAGACGCTGTAAGACTATTTGGGAGTTTCCGAAAATTGCAGCCTTGTTTTGGGGTCCTTAGAATGAGGATCCTACTATTTAGGATGCTTTACTAGGGTCCCCCCATTTTCGGAAACGCCCATGTAACTCCAGTATTGAGGGCCGGGCTTCGGGCTCCCTGGGCATGCTTGGGGAGGTGTCGTTCCGGGTTTGGTGGGCGCGTGGTGTTCTCGTTTCTCCTACCCTGCTGTTCCGCTTATACTTAGGCTGACAGCGGGTGAGCCGTGAAAACCACTCTTGTGCGCCACCCGCAATGTAGTTTCTGTTGGTAAGCTTCCTCGTCAGGGACCTAGTAGTTCAAAGAAGACACTTCTGCTACAGCCCGAAACCCTAAGCCTTAAACCCCTGAACCCTAAACTCCAAACCTCTAAACCCAACCCTAAACCCCACCCTAAGCCCACAACAGGATGCTTCTCGGCTTTTCACCGCGATTGCCAAGTTGGCCCCGTCTTCGCACGCCGATGGCGAGGAGGATCTGGAGACTGGGTTCTTGTTAAGGAGCTCAACTTAAGTTACTATAATCTAGGGCTCCTTTCAGGGATCTCTAAGGGTTTCGGGTTTACGGACTTTGACTTGAGTTAGCATAATAGGCATCTATAGTAAATAATATGGCTTCCATGTGATGACAACTTAAATTGAATCCCTTAACAAGAACCCAGGATTTGGAGAGCTTTTGCACTGGGACTGTGGCGCATGCGGAGCTGGACACTTGGTTCAGAGCTTTAGGGTTTTGGGTTCAGGGTTTAGGGGTTTAGGGTTTCGAGGGTTCGATTTCTTTTGAAGTTTGGCTGTTGTTGTGAGAGCATGTACATGATTGAGCTTAGGTCTGGAAGCTCAAGCTTTTGTAAGGTTTACAAACGTGAGCCCTACAGACCCCGGTCACGGCTTAGATGCCTCAGGTGTGGGTTGAGGTGGGGGTTCCGGAGATACCAGGCTAAGGGGGGATCATTGCCGACGGTAGGTTTTACCTGGCTGTGGCTTTACTGTAGTGTTGATACAGATGGCTTGCGGCCTAGAGTCTAGAGCCTGCCAGCAGCACAGGGGTCCTCGATCGCTGGTGTGAACCATGATATGTGGGACAACAGGAAATTCTGAGGGCTTTCGCAACTTGGGGCGAAGGTTTAGAGTGAGAGAGCTTTGTCGGCTTAGTCAGTCCTATACACAGGACGGCATGGCGACGAGGATGACAATCCGCGATGAGCATCTGGCGGCGATTGGGCTTGCTGCATCAACACGAAGATGTGCGAACATCATGGGCTCAGGCAAGATGCGACTTCTGGAGACTAGGTCAAGCAAGAGGGTGGTTATCACTCTGTTGGGACTGTTTCGTGGCCCTTGTATCAGAACTGAATAGCCCCTTCTTATGTGAGGGGTGTGTTAATGGGGAACCAAGGATGTCTTGGTTTTCATCGAGCAGCTGCAGTCAACAGGGCATGTGAGTGGATTCTTCAACGTGGTGACTGAGAACCGGTGTGAAATGGACTTTTTCTCCCACTTCCACAATGTCTTCTGCTTGCTGCCTGGGGGTTCCGACCAGAATGAAACTAAGATGCTGAGGGGGCAAGCCTTCTGTTTTTGATAGCGCTAAGCTAAATTCCAGGACCGACGAGTCTACGAACCCTAAACCCTAAACCACAACCCTAAACCCTAAGCACTCAACCTCAAACCCTAAACACTCAACCTTAAACCCTGAACCATGAACCCCGAACCCTAAACCAAGCCGGCAAGGAAGCCAAGATCAGCCCAGCCTTCATGACCTCGGGACTCCTCGTGCACCCTCCCTACGGTCCGGCTGCTTGGTCCTGCATCCTCCCCTCAAAGCAAAAGAAGCTCGAGGTGGGGAGTTCTGGGTTCTTTTGGGGGTCTCTTGCGGGGTCGTTTCCTGCAGGGTTCCGTGTCCTTCGATGATGATTTCGGGCGTACATTGCGAGTCCCGAGGGCCGCTGCGACACCGAAATGCCTGTAACATGGGCTATGCTTGTGGGTCAAAGTTTGGATATTTGAGAGAGGGCATATTGAGACGGAGTCTTGGGCCTTGGGAGGCACAGTCGACTAGTACATAGCCTGAAAGAGGAAGCTCCATGAGCCCGGTATCCTATACTATTTTTTATCTAATTATAACAATCTGCTATGATATATTTTGCATTTTACAACATACTTTATATAGTGCATTATAGTATATCATAATTTGATATACCCCAGGTGCGACTTCTTGATCCCGTACGCTGGCAGAGACCTTTGCGAATGAACCTCGACCTGAAGCCGGTGTCAAAAAAGTACAACTTTGCGGTTTGCCCGCAACCGCTTTACCGGCTTGAAGCGCATCGAGATCTGCTGGAGGACTGGCTGGAGTATCACAGGAAAATGGGCGTCGAGCATTGGACGATTTACGATCTCGATGGCTCGGGTGCTGCAGCCTTGTCTCGCCGGGAAGACGTTGACTTTCACCCAAACCTTCCAAGCATGTTGAATTCCCCGCGGTTGGCTGAAGGCAACTGGTGGAATCCAATCTGCCTGGAAGCGATCGCTTTAACGCAGTGCTTCTGGCGATATCGTGGGAGAGCAGCAATGGTTTTCTCCCTGCACTCTTTTGACGAGTTTCTGGTGTCCGCAAGGCACAGGCATGGCGGGTTCAGACGGTGGATGTCGGCGGCAGGACCAGACAATCTCACTACTGTGGTGCGGCTTCCAGCTGTAAACTATGGAGGAGCAGGTAGGAGTTTCCGAAAATGGGGGATCCTAAGATAGTACCCTCGCCTGGCAAGTCCGAGTTGTGAGAGCGTAATATGGTACCCTACATAGTAGGATCCTTATTATAAAGGACCCCAAATTTAGGTACCTGCAATATGGAAACTCCCAGGTTTGTCTGGGGACTCGCCGCTTATCCAACAGTTCCGGCGGCACACTGGAAGATTGTGCCTCGGTGAGGTTGGAGATCCCAAGTACTTGCAACCTGCACATGGGTGGTTGTCAAAATTAAGGTCCCTTTTGGGTACCCTGATAGGTGCCGTACTATAATAGGGACCCCAAAAGGGACCATAATTTTGATAACCACCCACATGTATCGGAATGTATCGGGACTAGCTACTGCGAGAGGGGTGGGCATGGGTGGAAAAGGTTTTCTCCTTGCTTGAATAGCTCTTGACCGAAGATTCCTTTCCAAGGTATTGGCACATCGTCGGGGCCAATCCAGACCACGTGCTATCCGTATCTTTTGCCCACAAGACTCCTTTTCTTTGTTGAAAACTTGTCCCATGTATACCCCCTTTTGGGGGTACCCTCTTCTTCTTGGACCACAGGTAAACACCACCAACGCCTGGCCAGAGCCACCGCGCAAGCAGATGAGCTTCTTCCAACCTGCAGCCAGGCTTTTGAGTCCCGAGAAGCTTTGTACCCTGTAGCCCCTTTTGCTTTAGGAATCTACCCTAAATCAGCGGTAAGCTCAAGCCTATTGCTCCTATAAAACCTACACCGGAAACCTGGTAGGAAACCTCTACAAGTAAGGACGTCTTGCGGGTTAACCATTACGTCGATGCCCTTGGCGCGCGCGACCGACGCGAGGATCGCTTCCTTGCAAGCTTTGCTCGCTAGACCCAAAACAGCCTCTAAACCCTAAGCTGTAATCACGGTTTAGGGTTTAGAGTTTATGGCCCTAACCCTAAATGGGGTCCCTATAATAAGGACCCTATTATTTTAGGGTACTATATTAGGGTCCCCTATTCCTTAATCAAGCGGACTTATCGCCTGAAGCCATGCGAGCCTGGAGCGAATGCGTGAGTCGAAACCCTGCTTGGAGGTTCATGGGTAGTTATAAGTAGGGTTTAGGGTTCCTTTAAAGGAATCTATAGGGTTTAGGGTTTAGGGATTAGGGTTTAGGGTAGTTATAAGTAGGGTTATAAGCAGGGTACCTATACTTATAACCCATATTAGGGGACTTATAACCCCACTTATAACTGCCCATGAACCTCCAAGTAGACTTCGGACCCAAACCCAAAACCCTGAGCTGTGTTCGGCGATCTGTTTGGGACTAGAGCTTCCCTCGCAGCACCGCCGCTTTTAAACGGCTTAGACGAGCTCCCGGCAGAAAAAATCTTGAAGCCCTCTGCTACCCGAAATGCCTAGAAGCCCTGTCTACACATGTAAAACCAAGAAAAAGTAGACGAATCCACAAGAGGGGACTTTTATAGTATGATGGGCCACAAAACCCTATTCTTCTAAGTATGAAGACCCCTAAACCCTAAACCCCTACATTAGCAAGTCGCGAGGATGTCTTCGTCCACGAAGATCCCGAGAAAGTACTCGGCTGGGCTGCTGAGGAGCTGCGAGTGGCCAGAGATCGAAACTCGGTACAATTTCAGTGCTTAGGGTTAGGGTTTAGGGTTTTAGTTTGGGGCTTTTCGGTTTCAGGGTTTAGGGTTTTAGGGTTTAGGGTTTTAGGATTTAGGGTTTCCAGTGCTTAGGGCTTAGGGTTTTGTGGTTTTGGGGTTTCCGGCTTAGGGGGATAAGGGTGTGCTTTTCAATGGTTATGGTTGTTTGGTCTGTAATTTGTTGAGGTTGAGGTCAACTTCGCAGTACGAATGCGCGTATAGATTACTCGCAGAGGCGGAAAGGAGTTGGAGTTTAAGGTCCAGGCGAAAACTGACGCCCAAAGGAAACAAGCGAAACGACGCTGAAAAGCATGCGGCCGTAACTATGCCTCTTATCTCTAAACGCCTCTGGAGCCCATCAAACTCTCTTTTGTGTCAGAGCTCCCTAAACCCTACAAAACCCGAAACCCCTAAAAAGAAAGCAGAAGCGGAAGCCAGGCCTTTTGTACTCGCCGTACAGCTCCGATTAAGTGTAAATTAGGTCAGGGGCAGCCTGGAGACGATTTGTTAGCGCTGCCTGCTGCATGCCCTCCAGCCCTGCTGAGCAGAGCCCTGACATATGGAAACTTGAGCAACATAGCAGAAACATCAGGATTTGTACGCCAAGTTGGATGGCGCATGTCCCTTCACACATCTGTATGCTTTACGTCAAGACTCAAGGCAAGTCATGACACGTCTTCGTCTTACAAAACGAGTGTTGGGAGAACACTTCGTGGAACATTTCACTGCAACTAAGCAGGGAGCGCTGCCGCACTGAACACTATGGGATGGCCCGTATGGCCTTTATGCGTTGCATCACAAAAGCACATGCCAAAGCTGACATTCCTCGGACTGTGTATGCAGCCGCTGGTTGCAATGGGATCCCAGATTGGCTCAAAGCAGCCCCTATTCCCAACTCGTCACAAGAAATGACTCGGAGAGCCTGCACATACGTAATGCCAGCCCCAAGGGGCCAAGGAAGTTGCATCGACGTGTCTGCTCTGCATGCATAGAATGCAAAACCCAAAACGAACCCCAGAAGTATGGCCCAAAAGAACCACAAGGGCGGGGCTGGATGCTCAAAGAGAAGAGCCCAGCCATGCTGCACAAGACCTGATGCGGGAAGTCCCACTCAGGCCTTGATTTCCAGTTCGGCTTGCAGATGCGTAAGCAAAATGCTCTGGCGCTCTTTGCAAGCACGTGGAGTGGCCAGACCCTCGCTTCTGAGCACCTCCAGAAGTTGGCGGCCTTCCATGGAATCCACTACAGCAACAATGTCAGCCCAAGCTTGCACTGTCGATTGGTCTGTGATGGCTCCTGCCAGCACTTTAGTAGCGAGGCGTCTTTGAGGGCCAGACAACACGATCTGTCCTGCATCGGCACTAGACGGCGGAGCAGGCTTCGTATGTGCAGTTGTGGACTGCAACCTTTCCCAAAGACGTTGTTCTAGTTCTTGCAACTCTTTGTGCTTCTTCTCTTCAACAGCAGCCTGTTCGGTCTTCTCCTTGAAAGCACGAAGTTCAGACAACTCCCGCTTGATTTTTGATGAATGCTTGGATCGCTTGTGATTGTCTGCAGATGACGATCGGGACGAATCTGACGAGGCATCGTCGCGATGTGAGCGCTTCTTGCCGGAATGACGCCTTGTAGACTTCTCCCTATCTCCCAACAGCATGGCATAAGCCAATCCAGCATCAAAGCTTGGGGAGCCGCCTTTACCACTCCATGACTGCTGATTGCCGCCAGACCAATTGCTCCGGTTCCAGTTCTTAGACGACCACTGATTGTAGTAGCCTTTGTTGCCTCCCTTGCCCCATGTCGCCTCTAGGTGGCGAGGGAACAGCAGGAACCAAAGCAGGAGGCTAAGCGGGACCATCATGCTGCTTACTGTCTCTGGCAAGAGGCTGCAAGTTGCTTGAACATTGGATCGCGGATAGCACTGCGAAGTAAACAAATCGTCTCATGCAAACTTGCAATATGCACTGTGAAAAGTACCTTCGACAATGCTCTGCTATTCCATCCACACGACATACAATCCAAAAGGAAATGAAGCACATACAAATGCAGGTCACTACGTGAATCACATATTTGCGAGGCGCGATGAATTGCACCCAACAGCAGAGGCCGAATGTAACCTTCTCCAGTCGCCCATGGGGGAGGAATCTGTAGCACCTTTCTTTTGGGTGTCAAACGTTTGTCAGAGCCCACCACCATGTCTAGGAAATGGAGGGGGAACTCATCCTCGGCAACATCGAACCGCTCCTGATACACATGAAGAAGGAGATCAACGAGGCAATCTTTGCAAAAACTGTGGGTACCCAAGAACACGTCATCAACATACCTGACATGGCAAACCGTACGCCTCCAGGATTGTCGCAGGGAGTAAAAACCTGCACGCTGTCTTTGCATATGATTTGTTTTCCAGTTCTCCTCTTCCTGGCAAAGAACCATGCTTGAAGCCAGTTTGCTCATGAGGCCACCTATCGGCAACCCACTCAACATAGCAACTGCGTGGCCCACAGACACTAAGGAGACGCTGACGGCCGTCGAAAACGTAGCAAAAATGTCCGACAAGCTCAAGCGGACAAACTTGCCGCGTCCACCTTGTAACTCGCACGTCATGAAACCAAAGAACTTCCGGGTGCGAGCAACGGCAACGCCCTTCCAACCAACAGAAGCAGCCGCAGAGAAGACAGTGAACCCGGCATCAAGAGCGCGTTGTGGAGCAACCTCTTCATAAAACTGACCAGCATCTGCTACAATTGCAACGAAGTGTTGTTTTGCTGCTTGGCACCTACAGCAAGTGTGCGGGTCTCCAGGAATATCCAGATCTCTGAGCCCTTCGCGTAGTTTCACGGTTGCGTCCTTCAACCCATGAGCCTCAAACCCTGGGCACAAATGTCGTAGAATAACATCTGCACCTCGATTGAAATACTGCCAAACACGTCGTTTTGGCCATTTGGCATAGCTACAAATCTTTCGAACGCAAGAATGTGCATGCTTTTGGCAACATCGCCCCACTTTGCAGCCATCATAAAAACATTTGCTCTTCAATGTTGTGTAGACGTACGGTAAAACCCAGACACCATCATGTAGTCCTAGCCGTGCGCTTAGGGCCGCACCCAAGGTGTACTTCATGCGCTGCAGCAACAAGCTGTTGGCATAGGCCCGCGAGTACTGCACAAACGTCCAGGTACTGGACAAGCACACGAAAGCAAGGCAGAGTACTTGGTACGCAAGCTTTGGCAAGATCCATGCACTTTTCTTGTTTTTGTCATCAGGAACAACAGCCCGACGCAACCTGTAGAATTGCATGCCCTTGGTCTCGCAAGCATAAGCATCCGCAGAACGCCGCTGTCGAGCCAACAACCTGTCAACTTCAACAGAAGAACGCAAGGAAGTGGACACAGTCGAGTGCAGACCGGCAAGCTCACGTTGTGGCAAGCCAAGCGACTTGAGACCCTTCAATGATTCATCACGAATGCACTGCACACGCTCAGAAAAAGTCAACCTGTATCGATAATCCCAGTTCTTTTCCGATCGAAGGAACCCTTGTCCTGACATGATCGAAGTCAAGTCATGCATGCTCAGACTCTCAAGTGATGTCAGGGACGCTCTCCCAGCAACTTGCACATGGTTCCAGAAGGACTTGAAAGTGCGGCTTTTGCCAACTTGCACACGTATGCGAGACTTAAGCCAAGATTTCTCCACACCTGAAAACCTGGCAGCAGAGTTAATGTACTGGACCAACACCTTGCGGAGAACACGCGCAGACTCCTTATCCGGAGAGGCAACACGCAAAAGGCCAAACGGCAAGCGCTTGTAGTCACAGTACTCTCGCAATCTCCGGCTCAGCATGGCACGTTGACCGGAACGAGGCAGGAACCGTTTCAAGCCACAGAGGGCAGGAAACAAGAAAGATCTGCCCCACTTTCGCTCACAGAGTTGCCAATCAACGCATGCTAGTCGTGTAACCAACCACAGTGCAAGCAAGTGGGCGTTCGCAGGATTGTAGATGTCGTGCGGACCAAAGAACCCAGTGTCAGCCAGAACTGCTCGTGAATGAGCCAAATAAGCAGTGGCATATGGTATCCTCTGAACATCAACATGTTGCAACCTAACTCCTTGATCCATCTTCGTGAGACGGGCCTCGCGTGCACGTAGTCTGGCACCATCTTCTGATTGATTTTGTGATTGAGGAATCCGACAGTGTTTAGGAGGTCGCTTTCTCTGCTTCTCGCGCATGCCCGTGGCAACATATCCATTGGCGGAGGGTCGATGGTTGACGATGTCTTGCCACTCCACAGCACGCATGCGCAAAGCCGTGCCTTGACCAACGACTACGAAAAAGATCATCCAAGGAGGATGTCTGCGTGCCATACGATAGCGAAGCTTTCTTGCTTCCGGTAAGTGAGGCCGCATAGTCGCAAGCATATGCTCAGAGAAACGTTTCACAGGCCCAGCAATGTTGGGCGCACTATCTCTGGCAGTATGTGCGAAACCTGTATATCTGAAATGACACGAGAACCACTGATAAACAACCGCCTCGCTATCAGCAGTATCCAGGATCAGGGCCTCATGCCATCTCACCAAGTCTCTGACAGCAACAAAGGAGCCGCGACCCTGAAAAGCAGCCTGAACATGGTCGGGTAACAACCGCAACACGCACACAGCCTGTCTCTTGCTACAATTGTAGCGTAGCCAAAGCAAGCCCTTGGCCATTGCGCAGAGACATACCAATCTTTCAATGTCCGGTGAAATATGGCATTTTTTACTGTCGGAAGGGAACATGTATTCAAGCAGAAGCTTTTGGAGCTTTGTCAACACAGCCCAAATTCGACGAGGAAACTCTGGCCGTTGCCAATGGCATAACAGCCTGGCGAAGACTGACCGACACAACAGTGCCGTGCAGTCGCGCTGTAGTTGTTTGGTGAGCTTTACATCGCCAGAGAAATGAAAAGTCTCATCTGTAACAAGTTCCGACCAGATGCTGCATGCCGTCAGGATGCACATGCTCACGTTCGCCATTGTCTGGAATCTGGCACAAGAAAAAACTGAATGTTGCCCAAGACATGGAAAAGTACGGTATCTGAAGATGCAGCAGATAAGTACTGCAAGATGGATGGAGTAATCGAGGATGAAGAAAACACAAGGCACCGTAGCAAAACGCAGTCACTGGTAGCCGGTGAAGCCTTGTGGGAAAGCCAAGAAAGCAGAAGCGGAAGCCAGGCCTTTTGTACCCCTAAACCCTGAAACCCTAAACCCTGTCTCACAGTGTCAGACTCCGAACCATTTGCCTCGCCTGGATTGTCCGAGTGTTAGCGCCGAAACCCTAAAACCCTAAACCCGAAACCCTCCCCTGAGGCCGAGCCAGTCTCAGAGACCGGCGGCTTTTCTCCGTGGCTGGGCCTCTGCTGGCGGCTCTCCGAAGAGTTGGGGAGATGGAGACCCCGGAGGAGGAGCGGCTTTAGGGTCTTAGGAGTTATAGGGTTTAGGAGTTTAAGGGTTTAGGGGTTTAGGGTTTAGGAGTTTTTGGATTTTAGGGTTTATCAAAAAGGGGTTCAGGCAGCCAGCAAGTCCAGTGTCAAGACAGGGGTTCAGGGTTTAGGGTTTAGGCGTCCTGGGGTTTAGGGGTTGAGGGTTCGGGTTTTATGCGCTTTAATAGGGTTTAGGGTTTAATAATCGGCTTTAAAGAGTTTCTCAGGTGGTTGGTGGGGGTTTCTAAGGACGGTTCGTGTTGAACCCTACCCCTACGCTCAAATCTCTAAACTTGCCGAGTTAAAGCTTCAAAGGCTAAACCACCTAAACCCTGCACACTTTGTTAGGCTCCAAACATATCCGCACTGCTGGATGCCTCTTCCGAGAGCCTTTCGCCCGCTCTGCGGGTAGCCTTCCGCCTGGCCGGGACTGCAGAAGACGGCCACGTGCGGAAGGCCCATGTGTTTAGGGTATATGCTCTTAGGGGTTTAGGGCTTTAGCAGGGTGTAGGGGATTTAGGGGTTTAGTGTTTATGATAGGGTTCAGGGTTTTGGGGGTTGAGGGCTAAGGTCAGGGTTTTGAGCGGTTTTGGTGACTTGCACTCTTGTTCTCGAGTGGGGTTTCGAGGCAATGTCTCTTACAGCGGTTTTGCAGGTTGAACGTGATCTTAGAATACCAGAGACTGAGGTCTATTTCTAAACTTGCAGAATTGCCGGGATTTCAGCTGGCGGTACCCTGATCCCTGCGAGCAGATTGGCATTCTTGTGCTGGGTCTGATGCATAAGCTAGGGTTTAACATAACAACTCAATCGGCACCTTGCTGAATATCGAGATATGCTGAATACTCTGAAATTAAACATCTGCTACATCCGCAGCAGATTTGTTTCCAGCAAGCCTGCGGAAGGTCTTGCGCGATGGCTTCGTCAGCTGCGACCTCGACCAGGACAGAGACTCGGCTGCCTTTGATGAGGATATTGAGCATAGAATGGGGTTTAGGGGCTTCCTTAGTACTTATCATTATCGTACAAAATCCCCCAAACCCTATTCTAATTATTGAGGCCCAGCCAAAGCTGCCGAGACACAAGCCCCCATCACAAAACAGAAGTAGAAACCCTAGAATCGTTAGTAGATATTGCCGCCTCGAAATCTAGAAGCGGAAGACTTCTCAAGTTTACAAGCTCTAAACGACTTACCACTTGAAACGTCAACTCTCAGAACTGCATCGCTAGCTCTGCCATGCGGGAGCCCAAACCCTCTTAATACTACACATGTCACTTGAATCCTCATCCGGAGTGGTCTAGTCGCGCACACCCCAAACCGTAAACCTCCAAACCCTAGGCCCTAAACCCGAAATGGAGCCTTGCCTGCTGTGAGCGAGTGTGAGCGTCGAAACCCTAAACCCTGCACCTTAAATGCCAGGGCAATGCGGGCCTCGTCCTTGCTAGGTAGGAGGGGAAAAATGCCTCGGCCTCGTAAAACCTATCTCCCTGCGAACCTCACCACCTCGGCGCGAGAGTCCGAGTCGCGAGAGTCGCGAGAGACTCTAAGCTCCAAAGCCGTGGAGTCCTAAAACTCGAACCCCTAAACCTCCAACACACGACAGACCCTAAAACCCTAAATGCCTCAACGCTAACTTACTACCCCAGAGCCCTGAAAAAAAAGGCACTGGGACCTATTATGATCTCGACCCTAAACCTTCCAGCCCTGAAGCCCTTGGCAAACCTGAGCCGAGGAGTGTTGTCTTCGGCAGAGTTCATCGGTTGTTCGGAGCCCTCGGGCTGGGAAGCTTGGCTTCTGGATTTAGGGCTTTGGTGTGCTATGGAATTCAGGGTTCTTGGGGCTGTACAGGTTTAGGGTCCAGGGGTTAGGCTTTGGGCATGCAATTTCGGGTTCGGGTCTTTAAAGCGGGCTTTCAGGGGTCAGGGTATAGGATTTTGGGTTCCGGCCATAGGATTTCAAAACTTAGCTTTTGGGGTTAACCAGTTTAGGGTATGTTATGGGGCAGAGGATTTTACAGTAGAAGCCAGAAAGTTGGAATGTGGTTTCAGGGTAGGATCACCTGTAATTTACCATAGAAGGGCTTAGGATAATCATATTCCAACTTTTTGGCTTCTACCTTAGGGGTTGTGGTTCTAAGCTATTTTGCGATCTGGGGTTTCAGGGTTCCTGCGTGGCTTAAGGATTGATGGTATCTATGCTCTTGGTTCGGGTCCCCGATCTGCAAGGTCACACAACATCGTTCCGTTTGGGGTTCACTTTGTGATTTCCGGCATAAGGACGAATTCCGACACTCTGAATCCTAAACCCCAAACTCTTGGTGCTCTTAAACCTTGAACTTTATACCATCTTAAACCCCAACACCTGCAGTTTCTCAGGATGCACACCTCCAGCGCCGGGATTTTCATTACATCGGCCTGTTCCTTCATTCGTGGGCCAGCAAGGCTGGAGGGTGCTTGTAAGTTTCACACTTAAAGTGCTGCAGATGTTGGAGTGATGATAGGGCGTATGAAGTAGAAGCCGCAATCCTCAAGCGGAACCCCAAACTCCGAGCCCTGAGCGCACTATAGTACTCTAAGTCGAGAGCCTACACGCGAAGGGTTTCCGAACTTAGGCTTCTGCAATACAGTTTTTTGGAGAGCCGCCCGGCAGGGTCCCTTTTGAAGAGCGATGTGTTCTTGTTGGAACCCGCAGTTCGGGGTTTAGGGTTAGGGTTTAGGAGATGGGCCCAGGTTTATCCACAAGGATCTCACATCAGATGACCCTAAACCCTAAACCCTGCGTAAGTCGAAACCCTAAACCCTAAACCGTGACCCCGTTCTTTGCGGGGGAACTGCCCACATCCAGGCGACCGCCAAGGCTCTTTTCGATGGCATGGACGTCGCCCCGAGCGACGGTGGGCTCTCGAGCCAAGAGTGGGAGGAAGGCTCCTCGGTCTTCCAAAGGGTTTAGGGTTTAGGGGTTTAGGGTTTAGGGTTAATACTGCTGCAAATGTTGTACGGCGGCTTTCAGAGCAATTAGAATACGAGCACGGCCAAAGCTTTATGTGTTATATTTTCAGGGCTCCCCCATTTGACTGAATGTCTGTGCCTCGCAGGGAGAACTGGCATTTGGGTTAGCATTATAACGGAAGGCCATGAATGGAGATCCGGGCATTCTTCCAAAGTGTTCATGGCGAGGTTGCCTCCGGCTTTGCGCGCATCAAGAGATTTCTGACGGCCTGAAGCTCCTCAACGACTGGAGTCAGCGGGACCAGAAATCCAAGAAAGCGCTCGAACTGCCTGGGCTCTCGGGGTTGACGCCATGTTTGGGTTCTGCTTGCGAGAGTAGTGAGTCCGGTTTGGGTTTGGTCTGTTGTTGGTTTGCTGTCTAAGGCTTCTAGAGCCTCTGGATTCCGAGTTTTTCAGATGACGGTTCACGGGCTGGCAGCCCTAATCTTCATACTGCGGCCTTTGCGAAAAGATCTTAACCTTGGAAGGTATACCCTAGTTGTGCCAAAAACAACTCTGTGTATACTAGCGTCTCCGATGAGGGTATAGAACCCTACCACAAAGTAATGAAGTAATGGCAACAACATTCCCAAGGCGCCGACTGTGAACATGAGTTTCCCCACCCAAATTTCGACTCGAAGGGCTTACGCTTCGGAACCGGGCACCCTGGGTTCCCATTCTGAACAGCAAATCTCTCACCAGACCTTAACCCTGGATAACCTACCTTTTTGGGGGTTCGTTATTATGATTTCCTTGTATAAGTCCTTAATTAAAAAGGTAGGTTATTTCGGGTTAAGGTAGGCCCTACACCGGCTTTGCGTTGCTGTTGCGCTGCTGGCCTTTGACATCGAGCCGTTATGAAGTCTGCTAGGTTGCTTGAGATTCAGGTGCGATGCCTGATGTCAAAGTCGGAGATCTTCTTAGCTCCTTCACATCGAAACTCTGTATCAGTGCTTTCTGAGACTCCGACAAATTCGAGTCTCACAAAATCAACATACATAGGCCATTGGATTAACATGCTGAGTGTCTTGGTTAACTAGCCCTCAACAGGGCCCTTACAAGACCTAGGGCAACGCCTTCAACGACCTTGGTTGAAAGTTCTAAGATCTCCGATAAGATCCTTTCCCAAGTTCTCACAACCTTGGTTGATAAATGACTGGATCCCCATTAAGACCCTGAAGGACCCCATGAACGAGCTCAGCTTAGAACAAAAACACATCTCTCGCCAGGCCTGCTTACATCACAGCATTCCAATCTCACGGTCGGAGGCAGAGGCCCAGATGGTGGCGGCAGGGTGTACAGGGTTGGTGTACGGGGTCGAGCTTGTGTTTTTGTTTTACGTTTGACGGGGGTTTCGTTGTTTACAACTTCAACACACCTATCGCATTGGCTGGTCGACATCTGGACGGGCTCTTTCTCGAGATTGTTTCTCCGTACATACGTACCTCCAGGTCAAAAAGCCAAGGGGTTTGCTTGTATTGGTGGGGCAGGGTCAAGCAGATTCCAAAGAGAAGAGGCACCATATTTTCTCGTGGAAGCCCAACCTACATGCTGAGAGAAGTGTCGGGTTCCATGCTTTTCCCTAAGTCTTTGACACACTTCTTATTCTAGAACAATCGAATATGGGAGGCCATCTTCGCTCGCTTGGGTCGCAGCACTCCCGGCGGCATGCGGATAACATTCCAGGCAGGATCGGGTTCCTTCAAGCGTGCCTCAAGGATACATGTATGTATACTTTCCGGTACAAGGATGCTTTTCGGATCCGTCTCAGGGGTGCTTTAGGGCTTTCCATAAAGGTTCCTTGGTTCCTTGAGGACGAATCTGTAAGTTAGTTTTGCCACATGAGTCTATTAAGGGTTCAAGTGCTTCAGCCAATTTTGTGCCTCTCCGCCTGGGCTATGGATTATGGTCCTCCAGGGCTTTATGTTTAGAGTTTAGGGGTTGCGGCTTCTGAAGTACAAGGGGCAGATCTCCAAAAGGAAGAAGCGCATCGCACCCCTGAAACTGCAACAGTAAGAGCCACAACCCCAGAAGACCTACAGAAGAGAAGGCAACATTGCCAAGCGAAAGCCGTATCAACGAACCCCAAAAGCCGCAGCGAATTCATTTTCGAGCAACTTAAAGCCTTGCATAGCCATTTCTTGAACCTACCAAAACCTACTCTTTTGTAGGTCCCTAGAAGTTCCATATTAAGGTATATAATAAGAACCTACAAAGAAGTACGGTTTTTTAGGTTTTATTGAGACACAACCCCGCCACCCCAAGCTGCAAAGACACGCTCTGTTGGTTTTCACAGGATCTTGAGTACGAGCTGCCCGGCTGCCAAAGAGCACGCATTTACTCGGGGGTTGAGGGGTTTAGGGGAATCGTTGGCACGCATTTACTTGGGGATTGAGGGGTTTAGGGGAATATGGTCTAGAGCACATGTTTGAACATTGCGCAATTATCCGGTGGTTCGGCGTACCGTCTTCATCATGGCCACGGAAGTGCGCCACTATGTTTCCCAGTGCTGTTCTGTGTACACCAGGGGGAAATGCAGCTGGTACTTACGGCGGTTAACATGTGGACTGCGCACATGATGTAGAATTTAGGGGCATAAACATCTACCATCTACCTATACTGTCTTGTGGGTTCCTTATCAATAGTTACAGAGTATAATAAGTATAATATGTCCCAAAACCCTATTCTATAACTATTAAACCCCGTATATTGCATCATTACCACGCTGCCCAGCTGCAGTTTTCAACCTTGGATCTCCTGAGGCTGCAGAAAGGTCACGAAAACATCGAGGACTCCGCTTTGCGTCACTTTGCGCTGCCCCCTAACCTGAAGGACCAAATGACCCTTAAAAGTAAGGGCCCTATACCGATATACTGTGAATCCCTATAATGGTATATGAACCTTGAACCCTTTTAGGGTTCATTTCGTCCTGAAGGAAGGCTCCATGTGCCCCTTGATGAAGGAATATAGCCTAAGTCATAATGGGCACCTACAGGTGCATGTAGTACACAAGCAGATAGGGTGCATATATGCAGCTTTATGTTGCGCTACATTGAGTTCGGGTTCCGACGAAGCGCTTTGTTGGGAGAATCGTGAGCCCTTGTTTCTGCAAAATGCTGCAGGAAGTGTGCCGTGCCCGTGAGATGATTGTGGTCGGGAGCCGTGTTGCAGATGTTGGAGGTCGATCAAACATGTGCTCTCCAGCACTATGGCCCGCATGAAACGCGAAATCCTTTAAATTCCTGGACCTTCACTTGAACAAACGCCGAAGCCATAACAACAACAAGAGGCAACGGAAGAGGCCAAAGACGACAGAAGCGGCACCAGCGAGGAGGAGGAGGAGGAGGAGGAGGAGGATAAAAGCTGCCACAAGGAAGGCACCGCAAGCAGGAAGATGAGCGCACGACATGAACAATTCCGATGCTGTTCGATGTTGCATTTTCGAACAGCGAAACTTCTCTTACGCAGGAGACTTGGGTAAGACGAGTTACGGTTTCCACGAACGAACATGGAGTCCATATCTTTGTGCCGTTAGCCTTGACCATAATGTTTGTGTGCCAAGGCCATGAATCATGTTCTGGTCGAGAAGCACGGCTCCAGCCTCTCAGCGGAAGGAGCTTTGTAATGCTCGTTGAGTTTAGTGCTTCGTGCTTAAAGAGGCCCTTCCAAAAAAGAGCTCGGAACGTGCGCGAAATCCTGGGTTGCTCACTGATGGGACTCGGAATGTAAAGTTTTAGGCAGGGGAGACATACGGTGACATGCTTCCTTACTCCAGGACCCGAAGAACAAGAGTCTTAACCAAAGCAAAGCTGCAGTTGGGGGCTGGGCAGTTCTATCCTTTGTCAGATTCCCTTTGCTCGCCCAATACGTCTGCAAGGTCCGACCAGCTTATGATGAACCTCGGTTATCCTCCATCGATTTACACCTAAATCTTTCTTTGTCCATCCATCATCTGCGAACCTCCTTCTGTGAGTGTCGCGAGTATCTGAGGTTTGGAGGCCAACTTTGAGCAGTTCGGTCGCGCGCCCAAGGGTGTCGGTATAGGATGGTACAGGAATAGCATTCATTACTCCTATGCTGTGATTGTTTGCATTAGTGTCTGGTTGGTTATCTTCATTGCCACTGTTGCTATGTATTCACTAGGAGGTGCATCCTTGGGACTCGTTTCCTATTTAGGGTCCATAGTGCATAGGTCTCATGTGTCGTATCGGTGGGTAACTGGATACTGTCGCGGAACTCTGCTTCTAATGTCCATTCGTTCCCTCTGGTGCCCCTACCCCTTATCTAATTGTGGAAACATTAGCAGCCACATCCCTTGAAACTGTCATCTGTATTCCTCAGATTTCTACAAATACACACACACACACCCACGAATTTATATATATATATATACAGAGAGAGAGAGAGAGAGAGAGAGAGAGAGAGAGAGAGATAGAGAGAGAGAGAGAGAGAGAGAGAGATCTTTCTCACACTACAGCTCGAATCCCAAGAGTAGGCAACAAACAGCACAATGCCAATATCCATCTAGCACAACGAACCCAGAGCCGCTAGTGTATCCCAAATACGGGAGCCTTACGGGAGACTTAGCAAGAAGGGGTATAGGTAACACAACTACGCTTACAGCCCCAGTTATGGTGTTTCATGACGGCTAGCACTAACCCTCCCAACTGGGTGGTTGTCAAAATTAGGGTCCCTTTTCGGGTACCCTGAAAAATTAGGTGCCGTATTATATTGGGGACCCAAAACGGGACCACAATTTTGACAACCACCCAAGTGCCCGGATCCTTCAAGTGCTTGTCCGGGAGAAAAAAAGGGGTTGTACTATGGAAGCCTAGATATCTAACCAACGCTATGTTGGGGGCTCCTCATTCTAGTTGTAGCAAAATGGGCTCCAAGACCCTATTCTAATCAGTAAGGCCCTTATATTAATGCAGAGGCATCCCTTTGAGGCAACTCGTTGAGTAGGAGTCTTGTAGTGTGGGTCTGGTTGCTTTGTGGTTGCTTTTGCTGTGGAGGCTATGGCAAACTAGAAGGACCCCAAAGAATCGCCAGCTGGAAGCGAAAGCTTGTGCTTCCAGGTCAGGAAGGCTTGCCCCCAGAGGACATCCACAAGGCTCCCCGGAGCTTCAAAGCCTGATCTACGGGTTCAGGTTTTCAGCTGGCTGGTTTTCTTCCTAAACCCTAACCCCCTCAACCCTAAATCCTAAACCTTACACCCTAAGCCGTTTTGGGCAGTTCTAGTTGTACCTGCAGGTGGAAAAGAGCCCGTAAAACAAAAAAACAAACCTTTGGGGCAGGGTGGGATCGGGGGTTGGCCTGAGAGCCGGTATCGAAGTTCAGCGCGCAGGGACTCGAGGACTGAGCATGGATGCCTTGATTTGGGAGTTTGCCAAAATTAGGGGTACCTTTAAAGGGATCCTTAAAGGGATCTATAAGGGTTCTATTAAGGGGTTTAGGGTTTTGGAGCTTCCGAAAATTAGGGGTACCGTATTTGGGGTCTTTATTGTCACGTAGGATCCTACTATTTAGGGTAGTATATCAGGGTCCCCTATTTTCGGAAACTCCCACTTAGGTGAAGATGAATCAGCTGGCATGCGCCTGTGGCAGCTGCCTGTTCGACAGCGCAAAGATTGAAAGGGTGGGCTCTGTAGGTGTAGATGCATCAACGTCCTCTCGTTGTTGCTTGCTTCCTCGTAGTTGCTGCAGCAGCAGCAGCAATGAACGCAAATCGCACACCAAACACGATAAAACGTGAACATCGTAACGGCCAAACTGACCCCAAATTTGAAGGCGCGATGCTATGCGAAAAGCAGCCAAACCACACATGAATCAACAGAACCTGAAGACTATTGCGAGCACCGATGAAGCCAGCCGCTGCAACAGACGACGCTGCACGAGCGCAGAACACCGTCACCTGCGAAGTTGTCTGTGTTTTGGACCTCGGGAAGCGCCGTAAATAACGACATAAACGTCACAGTTTTCATTGCATCGGAGCAGCATTCGGCTAAGTATGACATTGCTGTTACGTACAGCTCCGTTTAACATTGCTAGTTAACACTGCAGCAATAGACCCGCGTGTGCCGCAGGTGTTCTCTGCTGCACGTCCACTTAGTGTCGCGCAGTGGCAAGCGCTTCTGCTCGGGTGCCCGGTGTGCAGTTTTCAGCTGCAGCGACGGGCCCGGACAAGGACACGAAAATTCCTTCAATGGTAAATCTATCAATCGCATGGTTGCTTCTGTGTCGATCGCAGTCGTGTGCTTTGTTTGGTTGCTATTGTTCCTTGAACTGACTGCACCTTGTTCTTCTTTGTCTGCTCAATGTGTTGCTGTAGAACTGCCAACAACTCATCTCCTCAGCTCCTGAGCCTGGCTGCAAGTGCCGCAGTTGATGCTGAAGGTACCTTTCAGTGCCGGGGCATCTTTGAAGCCACGTCTTCTTGAGATTTTAAAAGTTTAGGCTTGCGGTAACCCCTAGACTCCCAAACCTAAACCTTCTAGGGAACTTAGCAACCAGGAGACCCTTCTCAAAGCCTCTCGGCGTCGACCCCTGTGATGCAACAGGCGATAAGCGCGTGTCGAACCAGAGCCACTCTTTCATGTCAGTTTTTGGCACATAATGGGGTTGCTAACTGCGTTTCTAGCACTATGGCCGTCTTAGGACTGGAAGTTTGGTGCGGAGATTCTACAGTTTCGGGTATATGTCGTGAAAGCCGAACTCCCAAACCCTCAGTTCCTCCTTGCAGGACCACACGTAGCAAGCTGAATCATATTTCGGGTAATTACAGCTAGGTACTTATAATCATATCTCTAAGTTCCATGATCCCTTCAGTAGAAGCTAGAAGCACCAACCTAAACCCTAAACCCTAAACCCTAAACCCAAAACCAACCCACCGAAACTCTCAAGACGCCTGCCCCAGCTATGCGGGAGGCATAAACGTCACACCCGGATCAGAAAAGAAACCGTGTGAGCTATAAACCCCAAGCCCAAAACGCAAAACCCACACCCTGAGCTTAAACCCTATCCCTAAACCCTAAACCCCTTATCCCTAACTGACATCCAAGAGCTTAGAGCGAAAGCTTCTCGCTAGCTGCGACCCGAAGAAGGGGCCCACATCCGAGGCCTTTCCTGGATAAGCGGCCAGATGGGAGCATCCTCTGGTGGGAAGCTGAGTCGGATCGTACGGATGTTTGGGGCTTTAAAATTATGTAGGGTTTAGGGTTCAGGGGTTTAGGGTTTAGGGGTTGGGAGGGGCGGACTTGCTGTCTGACAATTGGGGTGTGGCTCTTGATAATTATTTGTGTTGTTCGGGGGCGGGGGGGTCGAGGGGTTCCGGATGTTGGAGGTTTTGGATTTTTGGATGTGGGGCTTGCGAGTTTCAGGAAGTTGGCCGTTTAGGGCTTGGCAGTTGGAAATTCTTCTTGAGAATTAGGGCGCAGGGAAGCCTCCCATGCCTACTGTGCCCAGTGCTTGTGGTGCTTGTATATATCTGAACCCTAAACCTGCCTCGTCCTTGCTAAAAACTAACCCTAAACCCCTACTCCCTAAACCTGAAACGCCTGAACCCGAAGCCTCTAAACCCCGAAACCCTAAACCCTAAGACCCTAAACCCCCAAACCCTCAGCCCCAAACCCTACACCCGTAACCGTAAACCCCAAACCTGCAAACCCCTAAACCCCTAAATGCTACTACCTAGAGGCTCCATCTGGTAGTTCCATTTCCTGGTTCATATTCAGAATCCTATAAGCTAATCCCAAAAAAGGAACTACTATGGAGCCTACCTTAACCCAAGTAACCTACCTTTTAAAGACTTGTGTAAAGAGACCATATTGGGGAACCCTAAAACCGTAGGTTCCTTAGGGTCCAGGTATATATGGGTATAAACCCCAAACCCCTAAGTCCCTAAACCCCGAAACCCTAAAACCTAAACCCCAAACCCGAAACCCTAACCCCCCAAACCCTAAACGCTATTATGGACATTTTTCAGAAAGCCAAACCTTGGGGGATTCGACTGGGGGGCCGGTGGTTTAGAGCCCAAATTCCGGACATTTTGGCTGTAGGGTCTAGAGGCCTTTAAGATTACCTAGGGCTCCCTCTAAAGGGGTCTATAAGGGTTCTATTATATTGTTCGGGGCCTTGATAATTTATAATTGTGGTATAATGCGCCCCAAAACCCTCTTGCAATTATTAAGGCCCCCTATAGTAGGGTTTAGAGAGCTTGATTTTTTTCAGGATCGCTTTTGGTCGGGCTTTCAGCGTGGAGAGTCTTAGCGTTACCCAGAGGTCGTACTCAGACAAGCGCCTCATCTGCCCCAGTGGGCCAGACTTCAGACGTCTGGGATCCCGAGCCTAGATACTGTTCGACTTAGTCGATCTCGAGACCGCTCCTGCGATGCAATACTCGCAACTTCCAGTATAGAGTTCAATACACAGGTTCCATCAGGTGATGCCCCGCCCTAGCTTACTAGCCTATGGCCCTTAGCCCCACCACAACGCAACACTGTTGATGGACAAAATCCTGCATGACCCTAAGGACTCTAAACTATAGGAATTATGATATATTCCTTATTATGGGTCATGCAGGATTTATATCATCAACCGCCCTAAACCCTAAACCCTAAAACCTAATCCCTAAACTATAATGGGTAATGCAGGATTTTGTCCATCAACAGTATTGCTTCTGAAGCGCTGCAGCGGCTTTCCAGGCGCTCTGTCCTCGCGTGGGCGGGCATTACGGCAAGCAGGCACTTCTGATTCTGCGCGTGATTTCGTTATAGAAGGTCACTGATAATCAAGACAGCAGAACAGATTAGAGCAGCACATGCTAAAGCATAACCCAACCTTTCGTGAAGTGGATCAACAATGCAATATAACAACCTGCTGAATGCCAATTGAATGCAATGCAACTCAATTAAAGAACGCAATATATTACATTTCGTGAATTTGCAACGTAGCATGATAATATGGTGGAATGTAGAATGTTTCACCATGAAAAAGCATACTAACAACAGGAGATATCTAGCCATAAGAAAATATTTGTTGAGTTTAATGCTTTTCAGAATTTTGTGACACAACATAACCACAACCTTACATGGCATAGCATAGCTACTTGTTACCATGTCCTGTTACGGTATACTGTAATGTATTGCACTGTGCTAAAACAAATGTGTTAGATCAGTCAAACAATATAAATTCTTATCATAGTAAATAACGAATGTAAACAACATGATGAAAAACGGTATACCCCGTCGTGTATTACATTGTTCTTCAATATGTAACTATAACTTGCGTATACTGCCATGTCATGCTTTATGACGGTAAGTCATACATCAGGTTTCATTTTGATCCATTCATTCTACAATCCATTCGGCATCTTACAAGTTGTTGTATTTTGAATATATAGTAGTATTGGCTTCAGCTTAATGGTAGCGCATCAGCATAGCCACAAGATGTTTTAGGCTGGGCCCCGGCCTCTCTATGCCCCAGACCCATGAACTTGGGAAGCTCGTGAGTTTGTAGGTATGTCGAGGAGCGGCGATCTGAATGTGGAAACGTTTTGTGATCGTTATTTCCCTCGAGCTAGCGTGGTAGCATGTCAAAAGACTTCTGGACTTTGAGACTTAGAGACTTAGAGCTTCAGGGCTTCAGGCTACAACGTTTCTGGGTTCAGGGCCTAGGATCAGTACTTAGGCTGCCGTGGCACTGCGTCCATCCATCCATCCATCCATCCATCCAGTGACAGGGACAGAGAGAGAGAGAGAGAGAGAGGCAGACAGACAAACTTACCCACAGATTTACATAAACAATGCAAACACACAGACACACACATGTGCACATACATACGCGCAAACTGGGATGCAAACATGCATACAATGATGCCTACATACATACACAAATAGAGACATGCATGAGTAGTTTTACATGCGCACATATTTACATGCATGTGCTTATATACATACATATATACATATACACATGTACAAACACATCTGATGTCAAGCCCCCCGAACTTAAACCAGTAAACCAGCAGACTCGCAGCCAAGGCCCCAAGACCTGGAAACCTTGCACCCAGAGAGCCCAATGCCCCACTCGCTCAGGAATGTGCCTCCGACTCTATTCCGTGGGCTCTTATTCTGATAGAGGGCATACCATCTAAACTTAATGATACTAAGGAGCTTCTTATGTCGGTTCCAGGCTGCCGTCCTTATCAAGAGTTTTGGAGGTTTCCTTGCATGAGGGAAGGGCATAAGGCAGGGTACAAGACATAGCTCACAGCGGTGTCCGTCTCGACGGATATAACAGACCGAATGTATCACACAACCAGCAACATGCAATATACAGTCCTACAGAAGCTTGAATAAGTACCAACACTATTCCTAGGGTTCCTATTTACGTAATTACGGTGTACACCCAAAACCCTGTTCTAAGTGTTGGGGTCCTTCTATTGTATTTAGTCTTATATATATATATATATGTGTGTGTGTGTGTATACGTGTATATATATATATATATATATATATATTTATATTTATATTTATGGATATTTATGCTTATCTACCTATCAAAACATACATGCAGGCCAAAACCTGCCGCGCCAGCCTCGAGCCCTGCAGTGCCGGCGGCGGCACTGCCAGCCGAGGCGGTCGGGCTCCCGGACGCTAGGAGAGGCGGCGATCAGAGGCTTCGTTTCCTAGGTGTTTTTACATATGGGAGTTCACCATGTTTATGTTTGCTTATGTGCTTTTTTGGGGGCCCTATATACTATAGTGTATTGCAGGAGAGTAGACTAGCTTAGAGTATACATGATATATGATAGTTGTTATAGCTAATCTCACTGTTGTGTTTGTTAGTTTCCTTTCCTACTAAGTTTAGGGTACAACTTCGAAGATAGGCTTGTTTCATCATGCATACTCGAAGCTGGGTTTAGCGGGATGAGGCCGTAGCGTGAGGTAGTCTTTTTAAGGTTCTGGGGTTAGATACAATCAAACCAGGAAGCTCCTGGTGGTTCGGGGTTTAGGGTTTTGGGTTTAGGGTTTAGGGTTTAGGGTTTAGGGGTTTAGGGTTTAGGGTTTAGGGTTGACCGTAAGAGCCCAGTTACCATAGAATGATGCTTGTTACTATTATTCTTATTGTCACTATTTTACGAATAGTGTACATAAATACTATTACCATTACGTATGTCCCATACTCTGAGGGACTGTGGGCTCCGGGCTACAGGTTTTGGGGTTGAGGCTGACATGTGAGTGTAGAAAGCTTGTACCCAGAACTGTTAGCGTCAACGCCTAATGCAGGCGTGGGGGTCTGAATTGTGTCTCTGGTATTGCAAAGTGTCCCTAATATGGGCCCGATGGCTTCCAGAATCTGCAGAACTGTTTGTAGCTTGGCCCAAAGTTGTGTTGAGCTGGAAGAGGTGTAGTTCATAACGCCCTGGCTTAGAAGACGGCACATGGCAATTAACCAAGTTTGTGCGCAATGGGAGCCTTCGGGGTAGCTTTCTGAGTCTCAAGATAAGTTATAAAGACAGGTCCGCGATCAGGAGCGTTCGCGATCGTACTTACCCTCATTTGATGGTTGGTGATTAAGACCACTATACTCACTATACTTATGCAGCCATATCAAAAGCAAACGAGGGTTTGGGTAGCATGTCTAGACTCCTGAGCCCGTCTTGCAGTTGATTTGTAGTTGAAGCCGATCTCTCGCAATCGGATCGCAATCCAGGTCGCCTTGCCGAAGCCGGCTGCAGCGCCCCGAGTGAATCCGTTGGGCTTGGGGTGGGGGTAGTCCGGGTTTGAGTGACAAATTTCCAGCAAATGAGCCAGGATCCAGATCCGAGAAGGTTTTCTGTGACCGGACGGATTTGAAGTTGAAGTCTCTGCGACAAGATGTGAGTTTGCAGGCATCAGTCCCGGCGATGCAGCCACATCACTGTCCTGCAGCCCCATTGTCGGCGCCATCCAGCGACTGAGCTTTTGACTGGGAAGCTATTCGTAGTGCTATTCTGCTGTCAGTTCTAATTGCGTGCAAGCAGATGCAAAGAGCCCAGGTTGCGTGGCGCCAGCTCCAGCCCCGGCTGTGACCCCCTGCATCTCGAAGCCCAGCGCGCCTCTTGGGCCCTCTGTCCCACCGCCCGGACCAGCCAAAGCTCCGCTGGCTCTTCCGAGCTCCAGTCCCGGACCCAGCCCGCCGCCACCAACACCTGCGACACCTGACACACCCGCCACCGCCACACCGGCTGCGCCGGCAGTTCCTGCGAGGCAGTGGCCTCGGATCCTTGCTGCATGAGTCTGGAGTTGTCAGGAGGGCACCATAAGCCCTATCAGCCCCAAACCCCTAAACCCTAGTGTGAGTGTTAAAACCAAGCCCAAACTCCCTTCCAACATGTGTCGCGGGCACTGCAGGCCCAAAAGTGCGACTTCCCCAGCCGGTGCCCAAGTGGCGGCTCCAGCGCTTTCTCCGTTTTGGAGATGCTCCGGAGTGGGGGCTGGGTTTAGGGAATTTATATCTCAAAAAGGGTGCTAAATAATTACCAACACGATTTCGGGGTTCCTTGTTATAATATTTGTAGTATGCTATACCCCGAAACCCCACTCGAATTATTAAGGCCCGTATATTACGGGATTCTCCCCAGTAGTCTAGATGGTATGTTAGCAGTTATGGTTGCTACTATAGACTTGATACAGGTTGTAGGCAACATTGACCTTCTACACCGGCAACTGTGCCGGCTTACCAACCCTAAATCCTGAACCCTAAAAGCTAGTAGATGCCACGTTTTTCAGTGAAAGTGGAGCTGGTCCACCAAGCCGTCTCGAGAACTGGCGCTGGATCGCAACGTCCGCAGTCCCTCTCCTGTGCCCCTAGGCCTTGACGTAAATCCTGCCCCCTCAACCTTGTCATACTGTCGAGCGGCTGCATCGTTGTGCTCTGAACACTGACTGTGCGGCCAGGATCTCGCGGACCCAGGGGTTTGTTTTCAGTGTTGTTAAGGAATCTTTTACGGAAGTTGGAGTGATCAGCCTTTTGGTTATATCGTGGATTCCGCTTTCCTAATTTGTAGCTGTGTTTGCAAGCCCTGAAGGACACTGGTTTGTAATCTCGCACAGTTCACACTCGTATTCCACCCTCAGTGTCCTTCACACAGGCTCCACCTACAAGGTATTCCGACTGTAGCAGGAAGGAAAAGGGCCCTCAAAAAAAAAAAAAAAAGCTAGTAGAAGACTCTTCTAGCAGTCGCAAAAAGGCGTTCAAAAAAAAGAACCCTAAAAGCTAAGGCACCCTGAGCATATCTGAGCATCCTACAGCCCTAAACCTTGCAATCCATTGAAGCCCCTAAGAACCGTAAAACCTTGTGACTGTGAGCCGTAAAACCCTATAGTAGAAGCCAGAAAGTTGGAACATAATCGTCCTCATACCCTTAAGGTAAAGTATAAGGGATCCTAGCACTAATCCTCCTAAAGCCATGTTCCAACTTTCTGGAGTTCCCTTTAAAGCATCCTAAAGCCCTAAAGCCAAGAAGTCTCACACCCGCAGTGCCGAAAATCCACTAACCACCCAAAGCTTCCAAAGCCGTTTAGTTAAGGAGTATTCTATTATTTTTGATGTGCGAAGCCATTCTGAATGACGAAGCCTAGAAAACCCTATAACAGCTCCTAATTCAAGCCGATTGGTATAGAAGGCTGAATTCCGGAAGGTGCCCGATAAATAAAGCATATTGCAATCATTAAGACCCTTATAGCTAGAAGCAGCCTTTTCTGCACAGTTACCCCGTAAAGTGTAGACTCCTTAAGGGAAGCCTTCTAGAAACCATGAAAAACTTCTGACTAATTATTCAGGCCTCTATATACTATAAGCCCTAAAGCCTAAACCCTAAGCGCTAAACCCTAAACCCTACCTCAACCTACCAAGCCCTACTTTTTTGTAGGCTCTTATTATAAATCTTAATATTCAATTTATAGGGACCCTGCAAAAAAGTACGTTTTGGTAGGTTAAGGTAAGGCTTCAATCCTCAGCAAGGGGGCGTTTAGAGTTACCTGGCCCGTGAAGAACTCGAGGCGCAGGCTGCTGCAGCCTTGCTGGGGCCTCCGCCACCCAGGAGATCAGAGGGTCTTGAGGCCTCTTATATAAGGGTTTAGGGGTTTAGGGTTTAGGGTAGGTTTAAAAGGGAGTTTCCGAGAATTAGGGGTGCCTTATTTTGGATCCTACCATTCAGGGTGCTATATTAGGGTCCCCTGTCTTCTGAAAATCCCATATGGGTTCTATCTATCAGTCCATAATAAGGGTCTATACGGGGTCATCCAACCCTAAACCGTTACAGTCTAAGGCTCCGCTTAAACCCTCTAGACTCTACTTACACCTTCAAGCCCAACTCCCAAGCCGGAAGCCACAAGCTCATAAGCCTTAAGCCGGACCCGCAGCCCTGACATGTAATATAGGGGCCTAAATAGCCACCACTACTATTCTGGGGGTTCCTTACTATATGTAGTTCTAGTGTAATATACCCCCCAAACCCTGTTCTAATTATTGAGGCCCCTATATTAGGTGGGCCCTTCTTCCATCTTGCCAGGACGAACACACCTGCTGCTGTCCCCTCCCTTCTGGGCCGGCCTGCGTCGACTCCTTGTGTCCCACAGGCTCTCCGAAAGGGTCCTGGGTACTGTTATGGGGGATACTTCCCTAAATCATAATACTCCCAGTTGGGAAAGTCGTTGCGTTTCGTTCGTGGCAGCGCCAAGCCTTCGGGGGAAGCTTTGTTGCGGGGTCGTTGCGTTTCGGTGTGCACATGGGGGAAAGGCTTTCAAGATGATGATCTGCGGTGTTTGTTTGCTGCAGGGTCCATGAGCGGCTGCTTGCAAAATCGAGTGTCTGCATGGGGAATGGCTGCTTTTGATGTGCTGTTTGCTGTGATGCCCCTGATGTGTTTCTGGAGCGGCTGCTTGCAAAATCGAGTGTCTACATGGGGAAAGGTGCTTTTGACGTGCTGTTTGTTGTGATGCCGCTGATGTGTTTCTTGAGCGGCTGCTTGTAAAATCGAGCGTCTACATGGGGAATGAGTGCTTTTGATGTGCTGTTTGCTGTGATGCCGCTGATGTGTTTCTTGAGCTGCTGCTTGCAAAATCGAGCGTCTCCATGGGGAATGAGTGCTTTTGATGTGCTGTTTGCTGTGATGCCACTGATGTGTTTCTTGAGCGGCTGCTTGCAAAATCGAGCGTCTACATCGGGAATGGCTGGTTTTGATGTGCTGTTGGCTGTGATGCCGCTGATGTGCTTCTTGAGCGGCTGGCTTCAAATCACACCGGAGGGTATCGTTCACCCCCATTTATTGATGTACGACCGGGTATCGTTCAACCCATGCATAAAAATGTGAAAACCCGGCCTGGAGTGACAGCGCAGGCGTTGCAACTGCAGGCAGGCAAAGCGGAGCCGTTTTAGGTTTGCGGCGCAGGGCTTCTTCTTTACGTGCAGTTGCAGAAGGCTGCAAAACCGAACCGCAGCACGCAGGTCTAAGCGCATGCATCTCAGGGTTCGTTCTTCACCTGTCCCCGGAGGTGTCCAGTTGCAGAAGGCTGCAAAAACGAACCGCAGCACGCAGGTCTAAGCGCATGCATCTCAGGGTCCGTTCTTCACCTGTCCCCGGAGGTGTGCAGTTGCAGAAGGCTGCAAAAACGAACCGCAACACGCAGGTATAACTGCATGCATGTCGGGGTCCGTTCTTCACCTGTCCCCGGAGGTGTGCAGTTGCAGAAGGCTGCAAAAACGAACCGCAACACGCAGGTATAACTGCATGCATCTCGGGGTCCGTTCTTCACGTGTCCCCGGAGGTGTGCAGTTGCAGAAGGCCGCAAAACCGAACCGCAGCACGCAGGTCTAAGCGCATGCATCTCAGGGTTCGTTCTTCACCTGTCCCCGGAGGTGTGCAGTTGCAGAAGGCTGCAAAAACGAACCGCAGCACGCAGGTCTAAGCGCATGCATCTCAGGGTCCGTTCTTCACCTGTCCCCGGAGGTGTGCACTTGCAGAAGGCTGCAAAAACGATCCGCAACACGCAGGTCTAACTGCATGCATGTCGGGGTCCGTTCTTCACCTGTCCCCGGAGGTGTGCAGTTGCAGAAGGCTGCAAAAACGCACCGCAACACGCAGGTATAAGTGCATGCATGTCGGGGTCCGTTCTTCACCTGTCCCCGGAGGTGTGCAGTTGCAGAAGGCTGCAAAAACGAACCGCAGCACGCAGGTATAACTGCATGCATGTCGGGGTCCGTTCTTCACCTGTCCCCGGAGGTGTGCAGTTGCAGAAGGCTGCAAAAACGAACCGCAGCACGCAGGTCTAAGCGCATGAATGTCGGGGTCCGTTCTTCACCTGTCCCGGAGGTGTGCAGTTGCAGAAGGTTACAAAAAACGAACCGCAGCACGCAGGTCTAAGCGCATGCATCTCAGGGTCCGTTCTTCACCTGTCCCCGGAGGTGTGCACTTGCAGAAGGCTTCAAAAGCGATCCGCAACACGCAGGTCTAAGTGCATGCATCTCAGGGTCCGTTCTGCACCTGTCCCCGGAGGTGTGCACTTGCAGAAGGCTGCAAATAACATGCATCTCGGGGTCCGTTCGGCACCTGTCCCCGGAGGTGTGCACTTGCAGGAGGCTGCAAAAACGAGCCGCAGCACGCAGGTATAAGTGCATGCATCTCAGGGTCCGTTCTTCACCTGACCCCGGAGGTGTGCACTTGCAGAAGGCTGCAAAAACAATCCGCAACACGCAGGTATAAGTGCATGCATGTCGGGGTCCGTTCTTCAAATGTCCCCGGAGGTGTGCAGTTGCAGAAAGCTGCAAAAGCGAACCGCAGCACGCGTGCTTTCACACGAGTTGTTCACTCTTGGGGGACGGTGTGCACGGGGTGTGCTCTTGCGGGAACGGCAAATGCAAGGACTTTGCAGCGACCCCAGTCGTTGCGTGTGTGCAGATGGGGGAAGCATCAAAAACGCGAAATGCAAGGACAAAAACGCGTAGGAGTAGTAATTCCTGATATAGAAACCCTACATTCTACTACAAAGGTACTTCGGACCGTTTGGGTCTGGCTTTAGCTCTGTGTGTCCAACCCGCGAGTACTCAGTGCTTAGGGTTTGCGTGTTCCGGGTCCCGGGGTGCGCCGAAAGAACACAGAGACCCCTGTTGTTTTAGTGTTTCCATATAAATAGATAAACAAACAAACATATATATATATATACATATGTATACATACATGCATATGTACGGTTGAGGGCCCGATCAAGAAAATATGGTCAGCCAATCTAAGGATCTACAGTAGTGGGTCCTATATAGGTACTGTCTCGCACATGTGGTTGAGACCCGAGGCTGGAATTCTTGGCCCCGGGAGCCTAGCCAGCTCCTCGCTAAACCTAGCTTGCTCCGATCTGTCCGTTTCTTGCTGCGTGGGTGTGCCCAGAGACTCCAATATACCTTAATTAAGGAATATTCCTTAAAGTATGGTGGGATCCCTTATATGATTTAAGGTATATTCCTTAATTAAGGGATATTGGAGTCTCTGGGTGCATCCATGACCTGGGCAGGCTGCGACCTTATCCTCCAGCCCAGTTCTCAGCGAGTGCAAAAAGAGGTAGCAGCATGCTTGCAATATTGCAGGGTCAGATTGTGGTTAGAGCCAGCGTCGGAGAAGGTTGTTACTTGTTAATTACTTGTTAACTTAGCAAAAGAGCATACGGTCACTGTTGCTGCGCTGTCTACTCAGGTCCTGCAGTGCCGAAGATAGGACCAGGCGCTGCAACCCCTCCAGCACCAGCAGGCCCATGCGGTCCACCACCTGGGCCAACAGGTCCTGCAGTGCCGAAGATAGGGCCAGGCGCCGCAACACCTCCAGCACCGACAGGTCCATGCGGCCCGCCGCCTGGGCCAACAGGTCCTGCAGTGCCGAAGATAGGACCAGGCGCTGCGACATTTGCAGCACCGACAGGTCCATGCGGTCCACCGCCTGGGCCAACAGGTCCTGCAGTGCCGAGGATAGGCGCCGCAACACCTCCAGCACCGACAGGTCCATGCGGTCCACCACCCGGGCCAACAGGTCCTGCAGTGCCGAAGATAGGACCAGGTGCTGCAACACCTCCAGCACCGGCAGGCCCATGTGGTCCACCACCTGGACCAACAGGACCAACACCGAATGCGTTGGCCGCTGCAGCACTCCTGAAACCAGGAGTTCAGACGCCGCCAACACCAGCAGGCCCCACCGGTCCACCACCTGGACCAACTGGTCCACCACCCGGCCCTGCAGGACCACCACCTGGACCAGCAGGCCCACCGCCAGGAGCAACAGCGTGTCCGCCAACATCGTGCAAACCGTCCGGTCCAGGTGGTCCTCCGCCTGGCCCTGCAGGCCCACCACCTGGACCAAGTGGGCCACCACCCGGACCAGCAGCACCAAAGTTAGCAGGACCTGCTAGCCCACCACCCGGACCTGCAGGACCACCTCCCGGACCAACAGGGCCACCTCCTGGACCGACAGGGCCCCCACCTGGACCAAACAGGCCTCCAGGACCAACGGGACCACCGCCTTCAAAACCATCAGCCCTTCCAACAACACCATCTGCACTTCCCACAACACCATCTGCACTTCCAACCCGGCCATCGGCACTTCCCACATCAACGCCCTCAGCACTGCCAACACGGCCATCTGCACTTCCCACATCAGCGCCTGCAGCTTGCCCAACGACGCCGGCCGCGCTGCCATCGAGCGCCTGCGCTCCGCGAGGTCCCGCCGGCCCACCACCAGGACCTGGCGGATCACCCTCTCACGTTTCCGCCTCGGCACCTCCTCCAGGACCTGCAGGTCCACCTCCTGCAGCATGTCCGACCGCAACCCATTTTTCGAGCTCTGCAGCACCGACCCATGCCAGTTGCTGCTCTGCTCCGCCTCCGGGTCCTGCTGGACCACCACCTGGACCATGTGGTCCGCCACCCGGGCCGACGGGTCCGCCACCGGGGCCGGGCATGGTAGATCCTCCTCTGGAGGCGCGTGGAGGATGGCGTAACATTCTGGTTTTTATATGACTTCTTCAAGCCAGCCCAATACATGAACATGCCTTCAATGAGGGTTCAATACCATTGATGTACTGCTGTAACAGTGCTACCAGCCCAAACTCTTCACCGCCGCTTTGTGATTGCAGAGCCTTGTGTTTCAACTGGAAGAGCCTTCAGTCCCACGATCCTCCCCATTCGAATCGGTCTTGAGACCCACCACCCATGTAATATAGAAGCCTAAAGAATAGGTCGTATGATTCCTTTAATGCTAAATTTCAAAAAGTCAGCAAGGCCCTATTGTAATAAGCTCGCGCACGCAAGACTTCAAGAGTTCCGTATTGAAGCTTTGCGTATAGATCCCCTCGCGTCAGCCAGCCTTTGGTCACTAGGAACGTTTCTGAAGTAGCCATTGATATTGGAGGAGCTAAGGAGCCAGGGATGATGATAATCCCTTTTACATAAGGAGCTAAAGAGCCAAGGGAACCCCCAAACCACTGGTTAGTGATGCGACCCTATTTACAGCACCAGCGACTTGGTAGGTATGCTCATCAGTTTAGAAAACTAAGGGCTAGCAGTGTACAACCCTGCTCACTAGGTCCCCGGATCGACTTTAAGTAGGCCACCAAGATTCGAATCCGACATCCAGGCAGACACTGCAAGAAACTTACTGCCCTATTTTGTCCTTCTGCATGGTATGATGACCTCTAGCTAAACCTGAAGCATCACCTTCAGCACAACAAGTCTCTGATTGTAAAGGTTTCACCCGCACCCGTGATTGAAGCATGAACACCCGAATGTTCATGCAAAGTCCGCTTCAACTTGAAATCCCAAGGTTACTGGACAGGTGATCACTGCTTCCAAAGGAAACTTCAGAACCCAGAGCAGAGCCAGACGAAGCTGTTCCGATGGTTTATGGATGTTGGGGATTGGAGTTTGGGAGTTTTACCTAGGGTTCGGGTCGGGCTCGGTGCGTAGAATGCTCCCCTTCAGCAGAGAGCCCATCTCGGAACCAGAATCATAGACCATCAAATGAATCTTAATCCAACCCTCGACCCCTAAACTCACCGGCCCCCAAACCCTATTCGAAGCATTCAGGCCCCTATACTGCTGATGGACAAAAATCCTGCATTACCCATTATAAGGAATATACCATAGTTCCCATAGTTTAAGGTCCTTAGGGTCATTTTGTCCATCAGCAGTATCATGCGAGTTTGCCAGGATGGTGGTGGCTCCAAGGCGGGCCCCTAGTCGCGAGAAGTTTGATTCTAGAAGGGCTAACAGGAGGGGTGCTATGAGGAGAACTTGAAAGGTTACTTTAAGTAACCCTAAACCCCTAAACCCTTACACCCTAACGCACAAATCGAGAAGTGTACCAAGTGTCAAAACCCTAAACCGCTGAACCCTAAACTCTAGAAACCCTAAACCCCAAAACCCCTAAATCCTAGACCTTGTAAGGGCTTCCATAAGGGATCTTTCCTACAGGAGCCACGTAAAGGCTCGCAAGGCCTCGGACTCCGCACAAGCGAGCCATGCCCTCGCGCCGACCCCGGTCATTAAAGGGTTTACCCATAGGCTCCATGGTACCTTATCGGTTTAGGGGTTTAGGGTTTAGGGTTTATGAGGAACGACTAGTTGAAACATACCAACCCGAGAGGTATCGAAGAACAGGTGAGGCAGAGGACTAGGGGCGGGAGCTCCAGGGGATCGGTTCTTGCAGGTTGGCAGAAACGGTGGGACTTGAGACCTTCAATCCTCAAGAGGATCTACTATCGGGGCCTTAATAATCCCCTTGCAGGTCCCCGTCTGGCTAGGCTTGCGTACAGTAGCAAAACAGGGTTTAGGGTTTAGGGGTAACCATCTTTTCTTGCCAAGTCCTCTCCGCATGCAACAGCAACAGGGAAGTTCAGCAGTAGCAGCGCTCAGCACCACTACCACAGCAGCAACAAGAACAGCGACAAGTTACATGGGAGAAGCCATCACCCCTAGTCCCGAATCTTTGTAGAAATTGTGCTCCAGAAGAAACCCAAACCCTCACTCAACCCTCAATGCTAAACCCAAACGCTCAAGTCCGCCAGCTCGACGGAAAGATGGACGCGGCTACACGGAGGAAGGCGGAGTTGGACGCGAAGATGGCGTCCCGGCAACGGGAGGCCCAGGGAGGGGAATGGAGGGGCCTTAATGATTATATATAATAGGGTTTGGGAGTATATTATACTGTAGTTATAATACGGAACCCCCACAACAGCAAAGGTAACTATAAAGGTCTCTATGTCAAGTGTTTCGGGTTTAGGGTTGGGGGATAAGGGTGCAATTAGAGTTTGGGGTTTAGGGTGCAGTTACCCGCGAATCCAACACACAGCTTACCTACAAAATCCTGCCCTACTGACTCTAAACTCTGGGAATCCTTATAGTGGGTAATGCAGGATTTTGTCCATCAGCAGTAGGGTAGCGTAATCTTTTGACTTCTTCTTGTCCAAATATGAAATACTGTTTCGAGAGACAGCCTATTAGCTACGTTTTGGTTTAAGACCTACTTTGTTTCAGGGTTTCGGCTAAAGGTAGGATCTGCGCAATGGGGCTGGTTCAACATTCGGCTTTTTCGGGCGATTCTGATAAGGGTCCTGCAATTTGTAAAACAGGCTTACCTGTCGGCACTCCCCAACAGGGGGAAGGATCATGCATGGACCGGATTTCAAGACCTACATGTGTGTTGCTGAACCCCGATACCCCTTAAACCCCCAAACCTTCTAACGCCTTACGCCTTCGCGATTACGATTTGGGGATGTATCCATCCCCTTAAAGGAACCCTAAAGCCTGGGAAGTATCCCCCATAAGGGTACCCTTATAGATCCCTTAAAGCATATAACCCTCATAGGCACCCTTATGGATCCCTGAAAGGAAACCCTTAAAGTATCCCCATAACAGTACCTCAAGGGTCATACCCTACCCCGTTTTTAGGATACCTAGTTTTATGGTGAGGTTCTCTTATAGAAAAGTAGGTACTTCAAAAAAGGGGACCCCGTAAACCCTAAACCCTATTTGGAGGATCATGGGACTTAGTAAGTCAGGTTATAAGTACCTTAAGTGGGTTTAGAAGTATAGTTACCTTATCTTTAACCCCAGTTAAGTACTAAGTCCCATGATCCTTTAAGTAGCTAGGTATGTACCCTTAATATAGCTACGATATACCCATTATATAGCCCATTATAGGGTAGGGGTCCCCATTAAGGGTCCCTCCTTTTTCCCTTTGAACCTAGGACCCCTTAAAGTAAAAGCCAGAAAGTTGGAATATGATTATCCTAAACCCTTTATGGTAAATTATAAGGTATCCTACCCTGAAACCATATTCCAACTTTCTGGAACCCTAAACCCTATACCCTTATAGAATCCTTATAGATCCCTTTAAAGAGTCCCCGTTAAGGGTCCCTGTTTTTCCTCTTTGAACCTAGCACCCCTTAAAGGGAACTCCAGAAAGTTGGAATATGGTTTCAGGGTAGGATACCTTATAATTTACCACAAAGGGTTTAGGATAATCATATTCCAACTTTCTGGCTTTTACTTTAGACCCCTTAGCCCTAACCCTAAACCCCTAACCCCTAAACCCTAAACCCTACTAAACCCCGAAACCCTAAACCCCTAATTTTTGGGATCCTCCAAGTAGCCTTACCTAAATAGTAGACCCTAAACCTTAAATCCTATGGATCCCTTTAAGGAACCCTACGGATCCCTATAAGGACCCCTTAAAGGAACCTTACTTAGCCTTACGCCTTGGCGAGTTGGAGGCCGAAGAGAGGAGGGCGAAGGCCAAAGCCCGAGCCGCCGCCCGCGGCCCACGTGGGGGTTCGGGGGGGGTTTGGGATTCCTTTAAAGGAATTCATAAGGGTTCCTTAAAGGGATCTATAAGTTAAGGGGGGGCTTTAGGGTTAGGGTTTAGGGATTAGGGTTTAGGGTTTAGGGTTTAGGGGAAGGGGGGGGGGTTTGGGATTAGGGTTTAGGGATTAGGGTTTAGAGTTTAGGGGAAGGGGGGGGTTTGGGATTACAGTAAAGGGATCTAAAACAGAATCTATAAAGTTTAGGGTTGGGGGTTTAGGGTTTGGGGCTCCCAGAGACTCCAATGTCCCTTAATTAAGGACTATTCCTGAGATTGTGAAAGGATCCCTTATATGATTTAAGGTATATATTTCCTTTAAATCCGGGTTATTGGAGTCTCTGGGTAAAGGGATCCATAAGGGTTCCTTGAAGGGATCTATAAGGGGTTCTATAAAGGGGTTTACCCTAGTGGGGAAGGGTGGCTTTGGGACTACAGTAGAAGCCCAAAAGTTGGAAACCCAATCGCCTCAATCCTTGAGAATAATGGAGAAGGGAATCCCAGCACTATTTGGCCTTCATCCGGTTTCCAAATTTATGGGGTTTCCCTACAGGATTTCGGGGTTTAGGGTTTGGGGGGTTTAGGGCTTAGGGGGGTTTCAGGGTTTGGAGGTTAGGGGGTTTGTACTGGTTTAGGGGCTTAGGGTTAGGGGTTTTGGGGGTTTAGGGTCAGGTTAGGGGTTTAGGGTGCAAAAAGGGGTTGAGGGTTTGGGGGTTTTAGGGCTCTGGGGTTTAGGGTATGGGGGCTTTTAAGATTTAGCGGTTTAGGGTGCAGGGTGTAGGGCGTGTAGGGTTTAGCGATACGTACCGCAGCCCACCAGTCCCTGCAATCTTACTGACCTGGTGAGCCCATTACGTGTTTGGGGTTTATACTTCTCTCAACCAGCTCATGCCCTTGGGAGAACCGCCCTCAACCAGTGCCCCGAACCACATACTTTGTATACAAGTAGACAACATCACTGATGATTCACGTGTCCTTTTCTGCAGGGTAGCTTAACAATGCATGATCAATGTCATGAGACTCTAGGATTTGGCCAGTACGGTCTCATGGGCCACTGTTGGGTATTGGGTATAGTGACTATAGTGTGTTAATATCAATACCAATACTAATACTAATACTATTAACAATAATAATATCAATACGAATGCTAATAGTCGTATTCATACTAATAGCAATGCTACTAATACTAATATTAATACTACTTGTTCTCTGAAGTGGCGAAAATGGAAGAAGCTGAGGCACTGAAAGCGGTCAATGAAGGTGAAGGGTGAGCCTTTTGCCGAGGCCGAGTGTTGGATTTGAGTGCAAAGTATATGGCCCCGGTAGATGTAGCAGATGTTCTCAGGCGGTCCATGCCGATAAGAGCATGAACTGGCGAACTTCTTCCTGGATTCGGCAATGTTGTTGTGTTTATGTTCGTGTGTTTGACTGTCGTGCTGGTCCCCAGCTTGAAGCAGCGACTTTGCAAGTCAGTTCTGACAACGTCGTGCCATGCTTCCCTAACGTGTGGTTACGGCCGAAGAGGGTCGATATGACATACATGGTGGGTTCAGTTTCTGCTTTAAGCCCGCCTTTGCTGTCTCCTCCGCCAAACAGACCAGACTGGCTTCAGTGTAACGACACACCAAGCTTTCAAAAGGACTGCAGCTCCCCAGAGAGCCCAATACCCCTTAGTTAAGGAATATGGCTTGAATTATAGAGGGATTCATATTATGATTTAAGGTCTATTCCTTAATTAAGGGGTCTTGGGCTCTCTGGGTCTCAATCGAAGAGCTTGAGGCCCCACACTCCGAACGTCCAAGTGAAGGCTCATGCTTCTTAGAAGTCATTACAGAAATACTGTTGATGATAAAAATCCTGCATTACCTTAAGGACTCTACACTATGGGAATTATGGTAGATTCCTTATTCTGGGTCATGCAGGATTTATATCATCAACCGTATGGGTACCTTACTAAAAACCCTAAGGTTACTAAGTCCCATGAACCTCTAAGTGCTGCAGGTGCTTTCCAATGAGCCTGCCGGGCATCCGCTCATACTGATGATGCCTGCATTCTTTACTTCTGCTTGGACGGAGGCCTGACATGGCAATACTTCAACTTGCGGTTGGTAAGAGTCCTAGTATCTGGAACAGTGACAACCAGAAAGACCGAGTCGAAAAAGCAGTCGTAAGACTAGCTGTAGTCGGCATGCAAAAAAGTTTTCCATACTGCAAGACTTCGATCAGAACAGGCAAGTACAGGAAGCAGTGTTACAACAGTGGCAGAAACAGCAGTAGAGGTCGCAATGGCGGCGGCGGTGGTAGTGGTCGTCTTCGTTGCCGCCGTGTCGTCGTCGTCGCTGTGGTCCTACACGTACTAGCCAGTAGAATTAGCTACTGTTGCTGGTGGTAGTGGCTGCATGCATAGTACAAGCAGCAACACTTACTCAAGCGTAATTCAATATATCATTATATCACACCGAAGTATGATTTCAGGGTTCCTACTTTGGATTGTGCCGATCACAGCAGCAGCAGCAGCAGCAGCAGCAGCAGCCTGCGTGCCCCAAACTCAAAACCGTATGCGAGAAAGCAAAAATATAGGTACACTGTAGAGCTTGCTTCAAAAGTGAATTTAGGGTTCGGGCTGCTTCGGGGTTCGAGATCCAGGGTGCGCTTGCAATATACTCAGGAACGGCCTCGGGATTAAAGTTGCCGACGGTATGGCACTCTTGCATGTACGAACTCACCAACAGATTAACATGGGAATTCAGAGCCTCTGTTCTATTGCGTCCCATTGCGATGGGGACCTGGCCCCTTCGGGATTTCCCTGACCCCAAGGGCACACCGCATCTCCTTTCTGATCCTAATCCAGGTCGCAGAATCCGATGTGCTTGGGATGTTCCTCCGGGTCCAAAGCAAAGTCCCAAAGAAAGCACCCACCCGAACCTCATCAGACGTTTTGTGGAGCCCCCTAAACCCTAAAAACTAAACCCTAGACCCTAAAAACTAACCCTAAACCCTAAAATCTAAACCCTATAAACCCTAAACCCCACTGCGGGGCCGCAAACCTTACGCGCACCAAGCCCGAGCCGATTCAAGCGACCCGGTAACCCGGCAAGCGCCTGAAAGAACACCTAAGAGTCGAACGCATACCTGGGGCAAAGAGGGTTCCTTTAAAGGGATCCACAAGGGTTAATGTAGGAACCTGATTAAGAAACCTTCGGCCTTTATTTGGGTTCCTTATAAGAATCCTACTATTTGGGGGTTATAGGCCCAGAGTTTCTTAATCAGGTTCCTACATTACCATAAGGGCTACTATAATCGAGCTACTATAAGGCTTTCGTATAAGGACCACATTACCTTCAGGACGAAATGAACCCTAGAAGGGTTTAAGGTTCATATACAGTTATATGGATTCAGAGTATATCGGGAAAGGGACCCTACTTTTAAGGGTCATTTGGTCCTTCATGTACCTTAACCCTGAATAACCTACCTTTTTGGGGTTCCCTATTATGATTTCCTTACATAAGTCCTTAAAAAGGAAGGTTCTTCAGGGTTAAGGACATGGCGCTTTCCGAAAGACCCCAATATAGCACCCTAAATAGTAGGATCCTGACACCAAAATAAGGTACCCCTGCTTTTCTTTCGGAAACTCCCACACTAGACTTAAAATCTAAAACTACAAACCTTAAACCTTACAGACCCAGATACAACATGTGGGAGTTGTCCTTTTCCTTTGGACCCTTTTGGAGCTCCGCGCCCCCTTTGCAGATCAAGAGCCGGCGAGGTAAAGCCCAATTTCTGTCGCGAAGCCTCACCTAGCCATTGTTATTGGAGGAGCTAAGGAGCCAGGGATGATGAAAATCCCTTCTAAATAAGGAGCTAAAGAGCCAAGGGAACCCCCAAACCACTGGTTAGTCACGCTCCGAGGGCAGAAGATGCTTTCCCAAAGGGTCCTACTTCGATGATCAAGGTGGTTATTAAACAAGTAGCACACTTAGTATATAAATAGCAGGCTTGTCGAGGTTAGGTATATGTAGTTAGGAAAGTGTCATAGTTACACTTACGATATGTAGAGTAGTGTAGTTAGCTAAGTACACATAGCGGAGTTATGTGTCGGAGTTATGTATAGGTGTTTCTATATATGAGTGCATATAACTGTGAGTGTGTATGCACAATCTCAATAGACTCGCAGGCAGGGCTACAAGCTCGCCATGCAGATTTTTTCTTAGGCAGGAGTGACCATGACCTCGCCATCCTTGGGACACTTCTTATAGTAGCATGCCCTCTGGATGTGGACACTCGGAATAAACCGAGCCGTGGAATCGTCCAGGAGGAAGCGATTCTTACCCAGAGGCTTCAGAATGCTACACAAAGTGCACATGTCCCGTCATACAGGCGGCAATGCAGCCACACTTGGACCACATCACCAGAAGAAAGCAGCACGAGATCACCTTTCTCGCAGCTCTGGCCCGGCCTGCAAACGGCCTGAAAGGAAACAGTCGCACCGCATGCTCGATCGCCGAAGTTTGCATTCAACATGGCCTGCAAAGAGATCGTAGCTTTCTTGGGTGACAGCAGATGGGGCTGCAGACTGAAAGAGTCCGCTTGCATCTGCAGGACCACTTCGCCCCACACGTCTCTGAAGACGGATTTCTCAAACCAGTCTCCAGGGTTGTGAATCTCGTTTGCCAGCTGTTTGATTTGGCGATGCTTGAGTGAAGCAGGAAATCAGCGGTTTCTTTCGAGCAAAAGCGCCAAGGTGCAGGCTATAGTGGAATTTAGGCACAACATGCTCGGAGCCATATGCACTGAGAAATGCCCGGCCGTGTTTGAGGATGGCGGCCTCCAAATCGTCTGGTGGCACCTGCTCTCCCCGGTTCCCTTTAAGCAAGAGATCCAGGACGAGAAACAAATTCAAACAACTGGTCATCGCCTTTGCCAGTAAATCTGGAATGCTTCCTGTTGCAAGACTGAGCAAGAAAAGTCGCAACAATGGGTACAGGTTCAGACCTTGAGAGGCACCACACTTGAACTCGCCAGGGGGGATTCTCTTGTCGAAAATCCTCAGTGTCTCGTTGCGGTGTGTCCTCAAGCCGTAGGGCCATTCGAAGGAACACATCCAGTCTTTCAGACTTTCCACTGTCACACCGTGGGTATAGAGTATGGGGAACAAAAGCCCCAGCTCCACGTGCATCAGTCCTGCTACCAAGTAACAGTGTAGCCAGTCGTACATCAAAGTGGAGGCCAAAGGCAAACTCCCATGGAACAGGACACCATCTGGGTTATGGTTCATCCCCAGTGACTGCTCCAGCTGCTCAAAAGCCTTCTTGGAGACTTGGCCACATCGGCTTTGCAGTAACCTGCAGCCCTGCCAGATGGTATTGTCCGTTCTTGCACAAAACTTCTCCAGAGCAGTTTCGTGCACAGGTACCAGTGTCCCAGTTGTGTCACAGCCTTCCAGCATGCTCGTCTTGGCAACAACATTGGAGCACAAAGGACATGGTAGTGTCCCCGAGGAGCCCTTCACATCAAAGACTGCCTTCAAGGCAGCTTCATTTGCCACCATGGTGTCCAGTTTGGCGAAGAACATAACTCGTTCACCGCCCGAGTCCAGAAGCAAACCATGCTCGAAGTCCTCAAGCTTCAGTGCTTGCAGGAGGTGGTGGGTGAACTGCGAGAGGCCGCCAGGAAGTTGGTTCACCAGATGGGACCTCGCCAAAGCCACCGTGAACCACATTTGTTCTTGGCAACGGAACTCCGCCCCGAATTCATGGAAGGAAAGGTAGTAGGCTTGGATCTTCCGTGTGTTTTGCTGCTTTAGTTGGTTGCCCGGTGATATCTCATCACAATATAAACACACCCGCCAAGGTGTGTTTTCCTTGGGCGGGTGTTCCAGGAACTTCCTGCTGAAAAAACTAACAAGCAGGTTCTTGACGACGTACCACATCCAGGCTTTCAGATTCAATGTTGGGAAACTCAGTTCCTTTCCCTTCTTGTCTTTGATCTGCATATTGTCGATCAAAGCGCCATATGGTGTGTCGATGGCGACCTGTTCCTCTCTGGGTCTTTTGATGCCTGATCTGGAAGGTGCCACTGTGGAAGACGATTCGGAAACCTCCTTCAAAACAGCTGCTAAACCACTCTGGCTCACATAATGCTTCCGACCCAAGCTGGCCACGTCCAACGACATGGCTAGTTTCTGAATGCCGGCGAGCTTGCAGCCCTGCCGGCTTGATGGGCCCCAATGAAAATCTGTATAATATCATGCTCTCGGCTTTTATAACTACGA